TATAACTTGGATAATTTGGATATACACATATATATATATATATATAAATAGTAAACAGTATGATATGTGGAAAGTGGATGTAGCAACCAACTCACCAGTGATTCTTAGTCATCCAACATAGCTGTTTCACCACAATCACCACCGACGAAAACGGGATTTCACCGTGGGGAGATCCAAACGCTTGGAGTTGCTTAAGGGGTCCCAAAATATCCAAACATATTCACTACCCTCTGGTAATTTAACATAGCTATTGAAAATGGCCATAGAAATAGTGGATTTTCCCATTAAAAATGGTGATTTTCCATAGTTATGTTAGTTTACCAGAGGGTATAGATTCCCCAGTCATTTTGTGGATTTTCCATTGGGAAAATATACGCCAAATCACCTTAAACAACAAACCCAGGTGTTGAATCCCATGATGGTTGTCTCATCTACTTCTATGGGTGATTTTTCCCGCTGTTGCAGACTACTCATTGCGTGCCCCTTTCAAAAAAGTGGAAATTCAGCCTACTTGCTACTTCGAGCACTCAGCAAAACCCGGCTGAAAATCAACTTCGAAAGGGGGACCAATGCAAAATCCGCAATTTTTTCCTCATATATCAAGCTGATTTTCTCCAATTCAAATGGGCAAATGACTAAACCTACCTAAATAATCCTCCAATCTCACCATTTCAGAAACATTGTTAGAGATGATTTGAGGATGGTGGGTGAACATCCTGGAAACATACGAATAAAACTCATACTACAAAAGCAAATATAGGATGGTTGTTTCTTAAAATAGAGGTAGCCTAAAACCATGTGTTGCAATACTAAATTTGGTTAAACATTCTGGATGATTTGGGGTATCCCTATTTCAGGAGACCTCCAGTCACTGGCCATTTCAGGAACCTAAATTGGAGGTACCTACCATATATAAGGCCTATGTTTCAGGCCTAAATTTCAGGGAACCCAGAAAATCTGGCCCAAAATCTGGTCCAGTACCTCCGTACCTCCATCAATTGGATCCTGAAGATCTCCCATTGATATAACCATTGGTTTATAAACCCCATGAATACTATAGAATTATAGATATATTACCAACAAAAACCATAGTTTTTATAATATACCCTCTGGTAATTTAACATAGCTATTGAAAATCACCATTTAGTTCGTGGATTTTCCCATTGAAAGTGGTGATTTTCCATAGCTATGTTAAATTACCAGAGGGTACCCAGATGATTACCTATAGATATATTGCCTATAAACCATAGTTTACCTATAGATATATTACCTATAACCATTGGTTTATAAACCATATTATCTAGAATTATAGATATATTACCTATAAAAACCATAGTTTTTATAATATAATATATCTATAATAGGTAATATATCTATAATTCTATAGAATATATCTATTAATATAATACTATAGAATTATAGATATATTACCTATAAACCATAGTTTTTATAATATACCCAGATGATTCCCTCAATCGCAGCAATTTTTTCAGTCGGCCTTGTCCACGACGGCCATGGAGCATCGAAGCAGCAGAGAGCAGCAGCTGTTCCACTCCTCTGGCCTTGCGAAAAATCTCTGTTGGGTCGGTTTTTTCATCATTTATCCTCTGGTAAAGATACCAAAAACGATGGAAAATCACCATCTTTACCCTCTGGTAAACTTTCACATAACTATGGAAAGATCCACCATTTTTAATGGGAAAATCCACGAACTAAATGGCCATTTTCAATAGCTTTTTGTATGTTTACCAGAGGGTAATGGCTAAATCACTGCAACCTTCATGGGCCATTTTCAAGTTCGCTATGTGAAAAATGACCGGAGAGTTTTCAGGACATCCCAAAAATCCGTTGGTTTATAAACCCATCTAACTAGGTACCCTCTGGTAAACTAACAGTTTGCTATTGAAAATGGTCATAGAAATAGTGGGTTTTCCCATTAAAAATGGTGGATCTTTCCATAGTTTTTTGTATGTTTACCAGGCCGGGTATTGGTTAGTAACCATGGAAAAAAATCCAGGTGAGCAAATTGGACCTTCCAACTAGGTGAATTCGATCGATGGTATGTGGTAGATCTATCTATTGTTCATGGGGGTCTATAAAGTATAAAACACCTTATAACTAGGGGAATTCCAACATTTAGCTGGTCTAAAACTCCATTAAACTAGTTTGACATATCCATCATACCTATTGAGTTATTGTTATGAGTTTGTTCATAACAATCATGGATACTAGTTCGGTACATCAATGAAACCCAAACGCTATTGGCTCGTGATTTTTACCAACTTGGCTAACGGTTACTGGGGCGCCACCGGGCACCGTTGAGGACACCGCAAATTTCATCGGAAACACCGGTGGCTTTCCGGTGTGTTTTTGTCGTAGATGGATAGGTTGGTTGATGTTCACAATGGATATCTACCATGAGCCAACAGTTCATCTAGCCATTTCAACCAACTTAGAATAAGTGGGAGGGCACCACCTTGTGGGATAGTCTCTCAGAAAAGTCATTGCTTGGCTCATCAATTGGCTCTCCTTGGCTGTTGAAAACTGGAATCTTATTGGGGTGACTTAAAATTATCCACTTAATTATTCAGTTCCAAGATCAGCTGGGAAGAGGTTGGACCGGTGAATGAGTAGCCAACCATGCAAAAACCCTCGTGAAACAAACATGGCGTGCTTCAATTTATCATTCAGGTCTAGATGATCTTCCCACTCAAGTCACTGTAAAACCCCAAATTGATTCGGATTACTTAGCTCGCCATCTTTCATGGAGGGTATTCACCCCGGAGCAGTGACTGGATCCATGGTCCAGTGGTGGTCCTCAACGGATATCAGGGCTGCGGTACTGAGCCGGGTTTGCCAACCACCAATCTGCTTTTGTAGTGCAAAACTTTGTGTGTGCCAGTGGCGAAGGAGACCGAGTCATAACCTCTGGTAATTTGTTACAGTTTGCGAACTTGAACATGGCCATAGAAATAGTGGATTTACCCATGAAAAATGGTGGATCTTTCCATGGTTTTTTCTATGTTTACCAGGTAAACTGTCCTTTGTTGTGATCTCGAACCTTGGAGATGTCGGCTCCAGACATCTTTCCCTTTTTGGTGATATTTACCATATGGTAAACATAGAAAAAAACGAAACGAAGATGTTAGTTTACTATAGTTACGTTAGTTTACCAGAGGGTAACTTGCATCTTTACTAGGGTACATAGTTATGGTAGTTTATGGTAGTTTACCATATGGAAAATCACCAGTTTTCATGGGTAAATCAACTATAAAATGGGAATGATATGGAAAGATGGGCATTTAAATCTGATAATGAAATTGATGGGCTTTCCATGGAGAATGTGGTGTATCCAAGCATGGGCTTGTTCCATGTGACTAACCATAATATCAAACACCCAAACCTGACTTAACCAAACTTATTAAAACCCAATTGTCAAAGTTAAGAACACCATGCATTCCAAATGCATTCCCAATCTTGGATCTACCCTGCAAGAATCACTGGTTGCAAAGATTAAGTCGTCAGATATTGGTCACTACCAATCTGGCTGGTCTTGCCAGATAATATCCCGATGGAATATTCCCATGGTTGTTGGTATCCCCATGAAATAGTTCATGATATCACTATGATTAGTTGGTACTCCAAAAAACATCCAGTTGGTTTACAACAAATCCCAGATGAATTTCCCCATTTACATATACCCTCTGGTAAACTAACATAACTATGGAACATCACCATTTTTAATGGGAAAATCCACTATTTCTATGGCCATTTTCAATAGCTATGTAACAAATTACCAGAGGGTAGACTCACAATTGCCAGCTTCAGTATCATTCAGTATCCTTTCAAGGTCACCGTATACTTCCGCGATGGTGTCCAGCGATCCGTCGATCCTCCGCGCCTTCGGCGTGTGAGTTCGAAGCCCAACGCTTCAAGTTGCGTCAAGAACGCCTGGGCGCGAAGCGCCCCGGCTTCATGGGGCTGAGGATGAATGTTGACACACTGCATGTTTAAATGAGCATAAAGACGCGGATATGTTTTCACCCACTTTAACTTTATATGAGGATATTTCATGATGTTATGGAATATATATATATATACATAACCCATAATATGAATGTTCATAAAATCATATGAATGGGATGGGATATATAACAAAGATCTAATATCATGATTATCACGATGTTATGGGATAATTTACTTCATGGGGATATAATTATATATATATATATATAATGGAATATTCCAGATAGCATTGGCCAAAATGATGGAATTATGAACTTTAGGAACAGCCATTCTGGGGCTGATTGGCTCCACCAGCCATTTTTTGGGAAGGTACAACCAATGCGAATCCCTAAGAATAAATGGCTGGGACGTGTCATCAATACACATAAACATGGTTAATTGCATGGTACCCCAACAAAAATAGAGAACAGGTAAAAACTATCAGAACCTTGCTAAAATTCTACCTTTTCGGGTGAGAGATACCCTATGAAAAAGTGATCTTCAGCACGGCAACATATTCACTCATGGCTAACGGTTGTTGCAACGCATCAAAAAAGCCAGGAAGCGTCCCGAACTGTCCAGTGACAACTAGAGGTCCCTTCCTAACCTGTATAATGTGGGTAAAACAATGCCATTGGCACCATCCCCAGTCATCACCATTTTTATAGGTGGTATGCTTACCATTCCCAAATGGATGGTTTATGACATTGTTTTACCCACATTATAAGGTGTATCGAAAGCCGCCTGGGAATATCGTTGTCAAATCCCCGAGGTCAAACTGGTCAAAGTCCAAAGTTCGTCCAATCATCCCACGTCGAAATTGCACAGTTTGTGACCGTTTCCATTTATATGTCATACATGGCTACTGGTACCTAGTGAACCCCAAGTTATAGCTGGTATAGCTGGATGATCATCTAAAATTGATACATCCATAGGTCTTGACCCACCCCCAAGATGTATTTATGTGGAAGAACCCGTTTTTGATATTTTTGTGACCAGGGATCCCAGGGATCGAGTCCCGACAGCCCAACCTTCATCGGCTCATCCTGTGCGCTGGACGGGCCCCGCAAGGCATTTTCCCTGGGACGACGGAAAGCATCTGGGGATGGGACAAAACCCCTACCCCTGGTGATCAAAAATAGCTGGTAAATGATATTTCCTCACAAAATTTATAGTACCCATCCCCATCTGGAAAAACTCACCACCTTTTGTAGATCTTGTGAAAGCCATGGATTTCTAGATGGTAAATCAGAGTACCCCGAAAATGAATGATCAGTGACAGCCATCTGTCAGTCCCCTGGGTCTTAAATGGCTTGACCCATGCCCATCCCTCTCAAAAACCTGTAGTTCACTTTTCGGTCGTACTGGTGGTCGATGATAGTTGTCATACTTGTCTCCAGTTGCGAGCAGAGAGGACGAAATTCCTTGGATGCCCCTCTCAGCCAGTTGAAGTGTGTGCCCATTTCTCGGTTCTAGGAAGGTGGCAGGGAATAATTTCCTTGGTCATCGTTCCCGATGACTTGAACGGACATCATAGCGATTCATGTTGGAGGCATGGATCCATGTACATCCTTGGTACCAAAATCTCCATGAACGTCATTGCCGGCCCATCCAATCACCACCATGATCGGCAAAGTTGGTCTGCTCTGCAAACGGTTCTCCCTCTCAATCTTGTCAATCAGTTCCCATACTTGATGAACAATCGCGAGTCCAATCACCAAAGTGGAGATTTCATCAACAAACAGGACCAATGGATTGGTTTTGTTGGGAAATTGTAACCGGAAAACTCCATGATATGGGAAAATCGCTGGTTTCCGGTGAAGATTTTCCCAACAAAACCAATCCATTGACAGGAGGGTTGAATCGCCCCAACATGAGGCCTCCCTAGAAGGGCATCTGAAAATGATAAGCGACCATGGGCTTCTTGGACGCCAAATTTCGGTGATAAAATGTCCCCCCATGGTGTTTACGGGTCAAACATCAGGTACCATGGAGCTGCGACGGGATAGGTGAAGTCGAGGTGTTCAAGCTGTGTCTTCTGCGCTGAAGGCATGACATAGGAAAGTTTCGAAACTTGAAAGCAAACAATTCCATGGTATATCATCATTTTCCAAATTCAAACGTATTCTTTTGGGGTAAAGGATATATCGCATTTTGAGAGAAACCCATGTGAAAATAGGGTCATATGGGTCTAGTTTACTGAGTAAATCTTCTAGATACCTGCAACAGGCACCTAATTTCTTAGCTGTTTGGTCTATTTTGGATCCCATGGATTATCCGCAGTTTCCCATTAAAAATTGCCTGCCATTTTGAGGTATATCGCATTTTCAGTCACACCCAATTATCATATTAAGCTGGTTCTATATTTCATTAATTCCCATGAAATCCCAATGAAATCCCTTTCAACCCCCGTTCTATCCCCATTATATTCCCCAATTATATCACCATTGAACTGCCATTTTAGCTTTTGCCAACAAATTAAACCCTTTGTATAAACGCCATCACATCATTGAATACAATTCAGTTGGTTATATATATATATTCCTCTGCAGGATGGTGCCCCCCAGTTATAAGTTGGTTTATAAACCTCATGAACTAGTTCGTTATATCTATCATCAACCATAGAATTCAGCCACAAAAATATCTCAACTGAACGCTATCGACTGGGGGCCCCATCCTGTATATGTCCTATGAAAAATCACCATGAACTCCTGGCTGGCTTCCAGCATCGACACCCCCCTAGTCACCATTGCAGCTGGGCGGGTCCCACACAAGTTGCCGCCAAGAGCGTTCTTGCTCCAGGTCTTTGAACTTCTTCAAAAGCTCATCCCTCAAAACACCACAGAGTGCGGAAGGGAAAATTACAACATGGGGAATAGTGCCTATAAAGACAAGGTTTTTTTAGTCGGTGAGTATTACACATATTAATATTATATATATATATATTTATATTATATATGTATAATACATATATATATATATAACAGTATGTATGTATCCATACAGTATGTATGTCTGTATGGATGCATGCACACACATTAATGGATGTATGTCCCCATTTCTTGCGAAAAACCTCGAAAAACACATTTGAGTATACTCAACCAAGGTTGCAGAGCCATGTCAAATTTCTTCATTTCGCAGCTTCTGTGAGGCTGAGTTCCGCCAGCAAAAATATGAGCAAACTCCTAAAAATCGGCGAGGTTTCTGCAGCCAAGTAACCTAATTCGGATTAATCCACAACATACCCTCTGGAAAACTTTCACATAACTATGGAAAGATCCACCATTTTAATGGCTAAATCCACAATTTCTATGGCCATTTTCAAGTTCGCAAACTGTAAACGTTTACCAGGCCGGGTATGTTGGTTGGTTAAAAAAATGAAATAACCTCAATGAACTAGTTCGTTCTACCATAAAATCCATAAACCATCGTTTTTTCAGCCACTTTTTTTAGGCAGCTGAACAACACATAATGTCAACCCTGGATTAAACCCCTAGATTGTTTAATTGGGAGGGTACCATTAAAAAGTATCAGATTATGACTATTGAAAAAATACTTCCCTAATTAATAAACTAGGGTTTATTAATCCGGGGTTGACATTACCCCATATGAGCCATGGTCAATACTCACTATATGGTTGATGGTCATCCCATCCACAATAAGGATCCAAAAATAATGGTTATTATAAATCCCGAGTGGAACCATTGGATGACTAGCCCCTATTAATGGTTATTAACCATGAGTATTGACCATAGCTCATATCAAACATCCCTCGGCACGATTCGAATTCCCAGAGATCTTCCGAGCGTCCACTCAGCGGTTCGGGAGAAATCAGGACCTGCGGAGCTGGAGACTTTGGAGATACCCGGCCTGGTAAACGTATACAGTTTGCGAACTTGAACATGGTGGATTTGGAGGATTGATAATGATTGATATGGCGAAAATCTGGGATTTAACATAGATTACCCTCTGGTAATTTAACAGTTTGCGAACTTGAACATGGCCATAGACATAGTGGATTTTCCCATTAATAGCATGGTGGATCTGTCCATAGCTATGTTAAATTGCCAGAGGGTATATTTTTTTGGGGGAGAGTTGAATCGGGAGATATTTGTTCAATCAACTCATAGTTTTTTTTTTTAAATTAATGATCTTTCTGGATTAGGCAGCCAAAAAAAATGGTATATCATGAGAATTTAAGGAGGATTTCAGGGGGATCAAAGTCGGATTCGAGATGTTTTATGAGCCCAACTTTTAGGATTTCAGAAGGCAAATTATAGGTATTTCACCACCAACCATTCACCCATTACTGGATCTGGGTGTGTCTGAACAATGGTCTTTTTTTTCCCCCAAACAATGCAATACTTTGGGGTGGAGTCGTCGGGGTCGGAGATTAACCCGTGCTGATTTCATCCAAAATTTGGAGTGCAACATCCTGCAAGCTATGGTGACAATCCAACTTATGGTGACAATCCAACTTCCAACTGAAGTAGGTGACATCTATGCCAACTATAGACAATTTCGATATAAAGTCCTCCAACTATCCAACTTCTGTTACTAACAAAAAAGTTGCCAACTGGCTGGGATTTACCAGTAACCTATGGCTGGGATGATCCGAAACACAAGTTTTCTGGGTCAAAAACTCTCTCTGGTTCATCCGGCCTTGTTTAGAAAACGCAAAAACCTACTCCTTTTAGTCACAAAGTTCATGTGTTTGCTTGTATGGCATAGGTTTGCCTGAAAAAGACCATCATATTTCTTTTTCCGATTTCAACCTACAATAGATATGCGTAAATCACTAATCTTTCGACAAAAACATCCAGGTTTGTCTGCAGATATGGTACCCCATATCCGATGCTTTTGGTCACAAACCATCGTTAAATTCTGAAAATTGGAATTCTGAGGTGTAATGTGTGTAAAACAATTTCATAAACCACCCCCCACATCACCATTTTTATAGGTGGTATGGTTACCATTCACAGTCATGGGTGGTTTATGACATTGTTTTACCCACATAAATATCATTCCATTAATCATCCCATAATCCTTATATATCCCTATATAAACCCTAAATAATCCCATTAATCATCCTATAATCATCCAAGTTGGGAACACACAAAGTCATATGGTTTTGGGAACTCACCCCTGCCATTCCAAAGTCCCACCCACGGAGCCCAGATCATCACCTTCACTGACCTGGAGGCAATGGCTGGGGGACCCAGAATTTATGGGTCATGTTGTGTATTCTTTAGTTTGGTTACCCTCTGGTAAACTAACACAACTATGGAAAATCACCATGTTTTATGGGGAAATCGACTATAAATTGTTATTTTCAATAGGGTATATGCCTTTTAATAACAATCAATGAAGGGAGATCATGGCGAACATTGGCTACCTGAATTTAAGAATAACAATAAATTGATGGTTGGCATCTTTTTGAATATTTATATGCCCCAAATTTCAAATGCAACTTGACTTCAAATCTTTGCGGAAATTGATTCTATTACTTCATTGCGGGCGCATCTTGCAAGGCTTCAACCTATATTTGTGGCTAATCATTTTGGATTACACCCCTTGAATGATCAACCTCATATCAAGATATTTTCATATTATCCCAAATACATTATCATTTTTTTAAAACCAAATAAATGCTACATGGGAATTTTCATATTATCATAAGCTATATAACAATGTAACATGTAATAATAGCTTATTAATAACAACTAATCTTGGTAACATATAATGTAATATAACAATGGGAATATTAATGCTATTTCCCTACCATTAATTAACCATATATTGGATTATAACAATTGTTGTCAATATTACAGGATGGGCCCACCCAGTTATAAGTTGGTTTGTACACCATTATAACCCCCATTAACTATAGTTATATCTACCATAAACCATTGTTAAGCCACTTATAAACCAACTGAACGCGAGCTCGACTGGGGGCCCCATCCTGTAGTAATCCAACCATTCATCAGACATTTTCTTCACATTTACCTCAATGAATCCCCAAAAAACGACGAGGTGTTCACCTCCCATTCCCAAGAACCTTATCTGGTTGGTGGTTTTTCGCCCACCCCTCTGAAAAATGATGGACGAATCCTCAGTTGGGATGATTTATTATTCCCAACTGAATGGACAGTCATAAAATTCCATGGTTCCAAAGCACCAACCAGTTATACATGGAACGATTGACCTCTTTTGTCTCCCCATGTCCATAGATATGGCTTCACCCCCGCCCTTCTCCACCAAACATCCGAGATAAAACATTACTCTACATGGAGTTTCATCTCCCCATATTCTCATTATTCTCCATATGGCTTCACAGCCCATCTCCAAACTTTTCAAACATCTTGCCTCCTCAAAATGGCTGGGAAGCATCGTGGCCGTGAAGGGCGAGGACCTCTCTGGGCCGGCCTTGGCAGCATCGCGTCGCAGAAGCATCAGCAAGGTGATCTCTATTAGATCTAATGCTAGATATAATAGAATCACGGAAAGATAATAGATCATTTCTGTTTTTTTTTCACCGTTGGGGAATATGAGTACCCCATTGAAAATGGGGAATTTCCACACTATCCATATAATCTGGTTGGTGGTATAGCCTACCCCTCCGAAAAATGATGGAGTTCGTCAGTTGGGATGATGCAATTCCATATGGAAACATAAAATTCATGTTCCAAACCACCAGATAAATATGTTTCCTATATGTCAATGTCATTAAAATAAAATTTGAATGTTGATCTATGGTAGAAACATATTTATCTATAGATATATCTATATAGTAATATAGTATAAAACAATTGTTGGATCTATACAATATGATCTATGTTAGATTTCGAATAGATATATCTATAGTTCGTGGGGATTGTGAACCCATGGGCACGAAAAAATGCCCCCCCCCTGGTCCCGCGATTTGTTTCTGTTGGTATGTTTGCATAACTAGTTATGAACTGTTTCTGTTATATTGAACTGTTGGAACTAGTTAAACTAGTTTCTGTTGGTATTTGTTCAAAATAACCCTGTTGTTTATTGAACTAGTAACAAGTTCCAGGGAGTCATGAACCAATTCACAACTGGAGCACGACGTGTCCAGTATCGGTCGGTATTACTCTAAAGGTCAGGGGTCGTTTTTTCTGTGACCGACTTGGGTCAACGACCATGGCTGCCCCCAACTGGGATGGCTTAAAAGAAAACAGAACCATTCCACCTGTGGCCCCGAGGACCTTAGATTTTGACTTTTACCCATATTTGTAAGGACCATTGACCACCGCAAAATATTGATATATTGATGGTCATTCGGGATGTATCTATTGAATCTATCGGTTCATTGGGAGAAAGAGAACATTCCAAAGAACCTGACATGATAACGTGATAATGGGTAAGCCCTGTTCATCGAAAAACATAGTTGTTCTGCATTGAAATGACAACCATGAGTTACTCACGAGTTTGACCATATTAATGGGGACCCTAAAATCAAATGCTTCTTCATCATTTGCCTACAGGATGGTGCCCACCAGTTGTAAGTTGGTTTATAACCACCATTAACATCCATTAACTATAGTCAGTTCTACCATAAACCCTAGTTGAGCCACAAGAGTATCTCAACTGAACGCTATCTTGGGGGCCCCATCCTGTATCAAAGTCGTGGAGTTTTGGAGTACCATCTGACTCCCGTTTCGGATCCGAAAAAATTGGGAAACATCAGCTCACAGGTGCCTAAAGAGATGACCAACGGAAGTGACTTGTGCAAAAACGCGACACGTTGGGACCCAATAGTATGTACCGATTTTTTTGATGGTTGATCAAAATTCCTTTATCCGGGAACGGCCATTCTTCGCGAATAAAAACAATCATTCGACTGCCATATGGAGCTTTAGATCGACTGCCATATGGATAATCAATATCAGTAATATCGATATATCTACCATCTGGTTATTTAACAGTTCGCCATGGAAAGATCCACCATTTTTAAGAACGGTAAACCATCTATAAATAGGCCATCTATATCATGGCTATGTTAAATAACCAGAGGGTAATTACAATGTCCGATCGAATGATAGGATACTGGATATCAATGGATTCCATGGGATTAATCGTATGCTATCTCATGACCACAAACATGACGTTAACCTTTGTAACATGGGATTGTTGTATAGCAATACAGTACTGGTTGGTGGTTTGTTTCAACCCCTCTGAAAAATATGAAAGTCAGTTGGTATCATTATTTCCAATCTATGGAAAAACATAAAATTCCATGGTTCCATTATTGATTATTATATCCCATATTAATCCCATTAAAAACACCATGAAATCCCATTAAAAAGCAATGGTTCCAGTCACCAACCAGAGTATCTTGTGGCCTTCGTCTTAGGGATCAGAGGTGATCAGACTTTGGGGACCCCCCTGGACTCATTAGCCTCTGGTAAACGTTAACAAAAAACTATGGACAATCACCATGTTTAATGGGTAAATCGACTATTTCGACTGGGCCATTTTCCAGTTCGCAAAGTGTAAACGTTTACCAGAGGGTAGCTGTCCGATGATGATCTTATGATATTATGATATTATGGCTGTCAGGTACTGTAACACTCACCAAGAGAAGCCAATATCATTATGGCGACCCAGGCAGTTCCAATCCTACCAGGCTGTCTTTGGCCGAGGTCAGGGGCACACTGGCAGCCCGTATGGGACTACGCTTGCCTCTTAGGGTTGATGAAATAGTTCAAAAACTTGAGTCTGCTACAAGTGAAATGGATCAGTTTGTCAGATTATCTTGTAAATGAACAAAGGGAAGTCTGCAGAATTCTTGCATCCTCAACTTGGCTGACGTTACGATCTGTCAGTCTCTAAACGAGAGGTTTTCCCATACACAAGTCTGCTATAACCATGCTGAGATTGGACGATCAGCTAACAGGATCATCCCACGGTCCTCGTACGTGGTGAAAAAAAACCCTAGTTAGTAAGTCCCCTCCCTAAGTGGGGCTATCCCACATATAACTGGCTTATAAATAGAGTTATTAAATGAGCAGTCTTCAAAATCCCTCTATCATTCCATTTAACCCTGGTTGGTTGATGGGGATTCCACTATTGGATTATGAATAATCCCCAATATGTAAAAGGGTAGTATAATCCCCCAACTAATCATCAACCAATCATCATTTATCAATATGTATCAACTATATCAACTATAATCCTATATGTTTGATGGTTAAATCCCATATAAATGCAATTTAAATCATCAACCCTGCCAGGGATAGATCGCAGCCACTGCTCAAATCGTATGAAACCCAGTTGCCAACACTTCCTGGGATCCTCAGGTGGTACCAGCCCGTGCCCTGTAAAATTAGCCACCAATATTCCCAGTTTCTAAGCAATATTAACGACAGTAACGTTGTAAAACCCAAATAATGGACCTCAAACTTGAGGATTGCTATTTATCAAGTATGTATGGTAACATGAACTTAGGTTTGCCTACATTACCCATGTCATATTGTGGGTATTTGTTGGAATATATCCCATTACTAGTCGCATTAATATCACCCTTATAAGCCCACCAATGGTATATGAATATCAATACGTGTTGTTGAATGTTTAACTACCATTGCAATCATTGAATCTTATCTTAATTTACCCATTCAGTAATCCGTTGATTCACTAATTAATAATTCAATTAATGAACTAGGGCCTATGGTTCACCATCATCGGGCAGTGATACCCAGGCTCCATTCTGGTGGCCAAGTAACAAGAGAACATAGCAAGACCAGCCTGCTACGGCATGATAGCCAACAGCAACAAGGCAACGAATAAGGGACAGGAACGAAAAGAAGAAGGCTAAGAAAAAGAACGAGAACTCAACAATGCGGCATATATTTATATGTTGATATACATTGGAAACCTTCAAACTTCCTGAAAAATATGCAATTTTGAAAGGACTGAACACTCACCCTGCTTGTGAAGTTTCCATTGCAGGCCGGGGTTTGTCCATAAGAGGGGGGGGTTACCCCAATTCACGGCCAATTTCGGTGAAGAAAATATTGAGGTGCCCCCATGTCCAACCAAACTGATGTTTCTTTGGGGAACCCAAAATGAGGGATAGACCCACTTCAACAAAGCAAGTGAAGGGGGGGTTGCTGCGTCCCTTGCATGGAAAACCTTTGCAGGAGGAAATGACACATGTGCTTTTGTGAAATCTAGAAAGAGAAAGCATGGTCAAAGCATCAACAAAACAACAAACAGAATACGTATTTTTCTAGTTTTAAGGCTTACATCCCAAGTTACAGGGATTTTGAACTATAGTTTGCCCCATTACCATCTGGTTATTCAACAGTTCGCCATGGAAAATCACCATTTAAAGAGGTAAACCATCTATTTCTATGGGCCATCTATGCCATGGCGAACTGTTAGTCATAACCAGAAGGTAATACTCCCAACTTTAGGCACGGATGCTTCACAACTTTGCACCGACCTCAGCTCGGAGAGCTCGGAGATCAGCTGCTCAGCTGCTGCTGAAACACACATCGGATTGGTGAAACAATCCCCCAATCGTTGTGAAACACTCATCATCTAATCAGTTTTAAAATTAAAATGTGTGTTTTAAAAACTGAAATCCAAAATTCATCATCTAAACCAGATTTGAATCTATTTTAACACTAATCATCTAATCAGTTGGGAAAAACCAGTCATTCTTAGTCTAAAATCACAAAGCGATTTTGGAACCATCTGCTTTTTGTGTTGGTCAACAGCGGGATGAACATGTTGCCAAACGCTAAATTCCTACTAAATCCACCATCGAGAATAAATCCACCCATTTCTGTTGGTTAAACCCATGAAATCCTCATTTTCCCTGGTGAAATCACCATTTTCCCTGGTTAAATCACTATTTTCCCTGGTTAAATCGCATAGAAATCCCATAGAAATCCTCATGGTTTCTCCAACTCGCACCTGGGCAGCACCAAGAAGAGTTCCGCCTCTTGTGACTCCACCAGGCTGGCGAAATCCCTCGGGCGTTAACGAAGTTACTGGGATTGAAATGGATTTATATGGTTCTAAATATTGTGGTTTGAAATATATATATGGTTATATATATATACGGATTAATATACATATATATATATGGATTGATATATGGGATCATATATATATATGTGGTTATATATATGAACATATAGTCATATTTTTGGATCATGATAGTGAATGTAATAATCGGATCACTTGGTAAATAGGTTATATCCCACTTAGTGAATGGGTCATATCCCCAGTGATACCCTATTATATATGGGATTATATGGGATTAATCCCATTCCCCTAATGTCAAACACCCCCATTGTATGGTCCCAATGGAATGTGGAATTTCCCTACTAAACAATGGTTTCGTTGCGGGCTGTTTAATAGGGGGCACGGATTGGTAGTGGGATCATTCTAGTTGGAATAGATGAAAGTACCCTCTGGTAATTTGCTACATAGCTATTGAAAATGACAATAGAAATAGTTGATTTACCCATTGAAAAGGGTGGATCTTTCCATAGTTATGTAAACGTTTATCAGAGGTTAGCAAATGAAGTCAACCAGGGGATGTCTGGGATTCACCAAGCAAGGTGAATGAACAACTTATTTGTAAGATATGGGATTAAGGCGCGTTTTTTTGAATGCTCGATCTGGAACTCGAGTTGCATTGCACGAGATCGTTCGCTACCCTCTGGTAAACGTTAACAAAAAAACTATGGAAACTCACCATTTTTAATGGGAAAATGGCCAGTTGATAGTGGGTTTACCTATATATTAAAGATGGTGATTTTCCATAATAGTTATGTTAGTTTACCAGAGGGTAAGTTCGCAACCTGTGCCAGATCGTTCGCCTCCATCGTCTTCTTGCTCGTTCCAAAGCCCTCTCCAGTTCCCGCATCATCTGAGAAGGAGTTTGCCGATGACTATGGTCTCCGCCCATGGCGCAAACACTAAACCCGGAAGGTGAATGTTTGCTTGCGAATGTTTTCCTTGTCAGTGCATGTTTTTTCGCATCTGTTGGTCTGACCCTTGAATAGCCATTCAGAATGATTTGAAAACGGATCAAGAATCATTTAAGAATCATTTTGAATGGCTATTTCAATATCAATTTATCCAATATCCCAATGGTAATCATTTGAAAAGATTTTTTTTTGTTCAATTTATCTCGATCAGATCCCCCTGGCATGTGTTCGTCTCATCTAGGGTGCAAAAATTGATCGTTTTCTGCTTTTCTATCCGTGGTTGTCACTTATGGGTATGGATCAATACCTATCAATACCATTTTTAGTGGGATGAACATCCATTTACCAGCTATTTTAGTGGTTAATAATGATTGATACCCTCTGGTAATTTAACATAGCTATGGAAAGATCCACCACTTTTAATCGGAAAATCCACTATTTCTATGGCAATTTTCCATAGCTATGTAACAAATTACCAGAGGGTATCACAATGAAAAATTGCGACCAATAAACCAGGTAGCTTAATAATCACCTAAATCAACCATAACGGGTGTACTTCACCAATTGTACTTTTTTTACAGTTAACACCACAGAAAACAATATAGTTGATGGTTAAGTAGCGTTAGAATCTCATGACACTTGGTGATCTTGAAAAATTCACTGCAATTAAAATATCATTGTATCCCCATCAGCCCCAGTATTGGCCGTTTAATCCCCAGCATTATTGAATGGAGAATCCTTTGAAATTGGATAAATCGCAGTAAATTTATCATTACCCTCTGGTTATTTAACAGTTCGCCATGACAAATCAACATTTTTTAGAACGGTAAACCATCTATTTCTATGGGCCATCTATACCATGGCTATGTTAAAAAACCAGATGGTAAATCCCGCGCATTTTGTATTTTCCCATTGAAACCTCAGTAAGACCACATGGAAACCATTGTTTTGCCGTGGTGTTTTGGGGTTGAACTCACCTTCCAACAACCTGTGTATATACTATCCCCAACAAAAACTAGGTCAAATCAAAGCTGGTCTTAGATAGCCAGCATTTTTGAATCCAAATCTGAAATCCCCCTAATCCCGATCATATCAACACTAAATCCAATCAAATCACTATTAAATCACCTTAAACCCTGATGAAATCTCATGAAAATCACGCTCTCTCAGGTCGCGGGCCCTTACATCCCAATCAAATCCCAATCAAATCCCATGCGCTCCTACACTTTCCCAACTCTTGTTGGAAGATATTTTGAATAATCTCATTAAATCAACATTTAAAGAGGTTTTAAAGAGATCAACATTCATAAATCCACATTTTCCCTACATATTTCCACATTTTCCTCACCTTTGTGCAACCAACGTTGGTTGCTCCAAGGCGCTGATGCTCCTGCTGCAGCGTCCCCAGCTGCGCCGCCACGGAGCATAAGGCGCCCGAGACGTCGTGCGGACGCAGGAAACGTGAACCCAACTCCTGGGGGGTGACATAGGCACCCATTATGTTATATTACATCATTATAATAATATTATAATAGGCATCATTATTTATATCGTTATTTTTATCATAATATAATTATTACATCATTATTTATCATTCCCATCATTATATTACTGGTTGTAATATATAGTTTATTTATCGTTCCCATCATCATATGAAATATCATTCCCGTTATTATATTATTATTGTTATAGTAGATCATAGGGTAACATATTAATAGTGATATTTTGTGCTATTGTGTATCATGATGGGATTATTATATACTAAAGTGGGATAATAATGGAGTGCATCATAATAATTGATGGAATTAAACCCATAATCCCTAGTAATATATGGCTAAGTCATAGCTGGATGACGCTGAATATTGATTCCAACTGAAATATGCTAGGAACGACATTCTGGGATGAAACTATGACTGACGATGTGGGAAAATAGAACGAAGCAACAAGGAATCCATGGGCTTTTGAGCGATTTTTACAAGGAATCATAGGTATTTGGCCATGAGATTTCATGATATAACATATATATATATATATCAGGATGATTATATGATATTTAGGACCCTAGTACTATACAGTCACACGCACACAGCATCCCATGATATTCCCATTGAGTTTCAATCCATAATAGATCCCTAATAATATCTGGTTGGTGGTATACCTACCCCTCTGACAAATGATGGAGTTCGTCAGTTGGGATTATGAAATTCCCAACATATTACGGAAAATAAATTTCATGTTCCAAACCACCAACCAGATGGCCATGTTCGTCAACCCAAACGGGACCCAGTTTCGGTACCAACACATGATGCTGCTGGATGTTGATTCCCCCAGTCAGATGGTCATTTTTTTAATAGGTTTCGACCCATCCCCAGAGAACGAACCAAATATATATATCTACACACATATATATATATATATAATATATATAAATAATATATATATATATATCTATACATGTGGCTTTCAGGGGATTAAAGAACAACATTGGACGAAGTATGTGGGTTCATGGAGATATCATGGGGATAGAATGTGATATAATATACTGTGTGGGACGATGTGAGTTATTGGTGATGTAACGGGATCATCTGACTGACTATGTGGATTTTTCACTATCTAATGGGATTAGGTAATTATTGTTACTATATACTATATAGGAAAATGTGGGTCAATGTGGGCGAATTGTGATATAGTGAGATATCACTGTGATAGAATGAGATTTAGATGAAATACAAAGCTACGTTTCCCTGACTATAATGTGGATTAATGGTGATCTAATAGGAAAATACAATGTGATAAATATATCACATATATATATATGTTATATAATATAGGTGGAATATGTAGACTCTGAGATGTTATTGGGATATCATGTGGGTTGTTCACCAACTAAGTGTGTGGGCTATTGTGTGTTCATGGGTGGTAAAAGTAACTGGGGGCTAACAAAAATCATCAGTAAGTTTAAATCTAAGCTAAATGAATTAAATTTCTCCATTCTATTATCCAATTTTACCAATTTCAGTTAATAACTATGGGATATAAATATGATACCTAGCTACAATTCCCAAAGTAATATGTATGTGAGATTCCTGGGACTCTAATGGAATATGATTGGGATACACAGGAGATAAAGGGGGAATTCATTCGAATATTACCCTCTGGTAAATGTTAACAAACAACAATGGAAATTCACCATTTTTAATGGGACAACTCACTATAAATGGCCGTTTTCAATAGCTATGTTAGTTTACCAGAGGGTGTGGTTAACAAAAAATGACTCCTAACCAAGAATATACTACAGATTAGTCAAACCAACCATCGTCTTTTTTTGCAGGATTAAAAAAGCAGTTAGCTGCGCACTAAAAATACCAACTAATACGTGATGTGGGTGAATGTGTGTTTTCATGATGATATACTTAGTATACTGGTAATTTAACATAGCTATTGAAAATGGCCATAGAAATAGTGAGTTTTCCCATCAAAAATGGTGATTTTCCATAGTTTTTTGTTAACGTTTACCAGAGGGTATACTGGGATAATAGAAATGGTGGAAACACCTATAGTCATGGGATACTTTTTTTGGGCGCCTGAAATCCCATGGGCAGTATAAAGTCTGGTAAACGTTAACAAAAAACTATGGAACATCACCATTTTTCATGGGAAAATGGCCCGCTGATAGTGGATTTACCTATTAAAGATGGTGATTTTCCATCGTTTTTTGTTAAAGTTTACACGATTTCTTTGGCCATTTCTCCAGTTCGCAAAGTGTAAACGTTGACCCGGCCGGGTAGGTGGCTGCCAAGGATCCCAGGCATCTTCCCAAGCGACTAAACAATTTTGCAGCTGTCCTGGGTCCAACGGATTTCGACGGTGAAAAGTTGGATGGGGCCCGGTGCGTTCGTTAGCTCAGTTGGTTCTGACTATACCAATAGTGTATGATACTTCTGGGTAAACAATAGTCTGGGTAAATTATAATAAATAATATTTCACTAACCTGAATCTTGCGGCCATTTGGGGATGATTTCCCTTATTAACCATGATTCCCAGTGAGGGAGAACAGTGAGGTCGTTATAATTTACCCAGAATAGTGTATGATACTTATACATCATGATATTTAGATGGGGTTATAAACCAACTTATAGCTGGGAGGCACCATCCTGTACCCTCCAGTAAACTAACAGTTTGCCAGGGTTCATGGGGGATATAACTATAGTTAATGGGTTTGTAATGATTTATACACCAACTTACAACTGGGTAGCTCCCCTATGGTAAACTAACATAACATAGCTATTGAACATGGCCGTTTACAGTTCGTTGATTTACTTTGAAGGTGACTTTCCAGGGTCATGTCAGTTCACCAGATGGTATCTTTCACGCTATTTCACCATAGTCAGAGGGGTTGTGTCCCACACGACGGGAATGACCATAGTCATACCGTTCCCATTTATTTCATTCAACTGCAGCCCCAGTGGGAAAGTGCCTGATTTCACTTAGACAATCCAAAGATGGGTGACCCTCTATATGTGTCTCCCGTCAACACATTAGTTCTTCGTTGTCATCCCATTGCATTCTTGGCAATCCTCTTACTGGCCATGAGAATTCCCTCTTCGTGGTGGCATGACTATCCAATATTGTGGGTATGTGATCCAACCTTTGAGCACGGCACTCAAAGTAGATGATTTCTAGCTATGCTACCTGTTGGGTTTATGGTGGAAAGAAATGGTATAGCTGCAGTCGGATCAGCTTCACCAAACGAACAGCTGAACATGGCCCAGCCAAACGACAATGGCTAAGTTGGCGGGGTAGTTCCTCTTAATAACAGGGTATGCGGCCACAAAATTCAAGGGGTCATATCCCAACCTATTAGTTTAACCATAAAATTTATCAATCAAAACAAACACAACTGGAGATGGGCTTCCAATAAATATGCCATATTCTACCAGAATTTCCCATTTTCCTAACTCCAACCGCACCTTCAAGAAATGAACGTAGGGTCGAAATCCGAAAATTTTGGAATCAACACTCTATTCCCCATGGTTCCAAACCTCATTTTCCACAATATTTAGGTATCTGGGTTTGTCTGAGAATAGCGTCTATCCTCGCATCATATGGTTTATCATTTGCCCATTCAATGGCAATATTTGATGCGTACACAGTAGACCTCATTTTATAGACACAGCCACAGCTTCTTCACGGCAAAAGCCTGTCCCCCCTGGGTGAACCTGAAAATACCTGGGATATACCTGGGATCTATGGATGTTCCTCCCCCCGGAATATGGTAAAAAGACACTGCCAGGCATTTTTCTTGGTGACATACCACTTCTCGTTTTCACTGACCTCACCCTGAACACATCTCCAAGGCTCGAAGGTACCATGAATGTTTCAACAAACCGGTTGAAGCCTTGCATATTGTTGGACTACTATATTTTATATACAGTAATTACATACATATAATATCAATTTTATTCAAATTTCCATTAAGGTTAGTTGATTTACATGGTCACAACCACATTGGATGGGGTACATCGAATCCACACGACCGGCTGAACATAGGATGGTTGATGGCTAGATCACATCTTCTTGACGGTTGAATCCCCATTAAAAACACACTAGCTAATCTTACTGGTGCTTAGCAGGGAATGGATGGGTTGCTGGGGGTTGCTGGAATTATTATTGATAGTTGTTGTGGATCATTCCCTCATTCCCTACTAAGCACAAGTAAGAAAACCACTAGCTAAGTAGCAAAAAAATGCAGATCATGACATCATTTCATATTTCTATCTAATACTGATCAAACGCCAGTTAATGATAAGCCACACAAATTGGGGACGTAGCCTCCTTTTTTCAAGAGATGTGTTCTTAAAACATCACCATTCCTATATATCGATCATGTTCCGAAGAGCTCTTTTTTTCCTTGGCTTTTGCCACATCTTTTTCTATGTTTACCCCAGAATCGTTTTGGTTTCCCGGGGGGCCCACGAACCACAAGGACCACGAGCCAGGACCAAAAATGCCAAGCCAAGCATCGGTTGTTCTGAAGCTGGGGGTCGATCTCCAGCATTCGACCGCGCATGTCCTGAGGGGTCCGAATGACCCAGTACTGACAGTACCATATTTTGGGCCATAGAAATTGTGATCTTCCCTGAAATTTAGGCCTGAAAACTAGGCCTTACATATGAAATTCCCATTGAGGTACTTGAATCCTCGTTTGTTTTTTTCTGGTGGAGATATCTACAAGTAAATGGTGGATAGGTCATACTTTAAATGAGCCACTGTGATACACATCTGGATTTCACCAGCAAGAAATGGTCGAATATATGATATAACATATATATATAGTCTGGCTAATATAGTCAACTATATGGGATCTAACCCCAAACATATGTTTGGATATCACCCATAAGTGACCCATGATTCCCAGTGGCTATTCCACAAGGACCTACTTCAGATATTTCTTACGATTACATTGCCAATCTTAGATACCCTGCAAAAAAAAAAAATTCTTTGCTGGTGAACGTAGATATTCCCATGAAAATACCAAAAGACTAGTTAGGATTAGTTTGTATCCATTTTTCAGATTGACCTAGATTACAATGTGGTGGCCCCCAGTTATGTTTGTTGGTTTATAAACCCCATTAGCTAGTTCGTTATATCTACCATAAACCATAGTGAAATTGGAGTTATGTTCACCAACTGAACGCTATCGTAAACCGGGGCCCCACTTTGTACATGGTCAACCTGGTCAACACTTTTTTGAGCTGGTTGGGTCAGCATGTTGATGCGCAGTGTGTCCATATCAAAGTCCAGTCCTCAACCATTCGGGGATCGATTGTTCAAACAATGCGGTGAATCTCGCAGAATGTGGGAACACTTGATACTTGGTGGCTCATCCCACTTAGTAAGTGGGTTATAACCCCAGTTATAAATGGGACAAGTAGGGTTAATCCACTTATAACTGGGGTTATAACCCACTTACTAAGTGGGATGAACCACCTTGTAGAGGTTTTCCGAAAAGGCCTTTATAGGATTAGATGAAAGCTGTTGAAACCAGTTGAAACCTGTTGGAATCCATGGGGTTTTACACATCTACGGTATGTCAGTTTGCTGGAGGGTTTTGTTCATTCGTTTCCCAGTCGGATGGGGAGCATTTGACTATGGGGCTACTCCAATAGCTGGATGGTTTCGTTCATGGAAAATCCACCCAGAAAACGGTGGATATAGTCCCGCATGACTTAGGAAACCTCCACTAATCGGATGGAAACTCCAACACACCATCCTCCACCTAACATAGACCCTGAAAGCAGCCCGTAGAGCAAAGAAGTCTTCCCCCAACAGGCCGCCATTCCATGGCCATGAACGAAGGGATCAGCTCGCAAAGCCCGTTTCGAATTCTCCTGTTGATACAAATTCATAAATATGCGACACGGGACACGTACAATACATCTTTGCTGTCAATAAGCAAGAAACACGCTTGGAAGCACTGGTCCGTCAGTCTTGCCTCAAAGGTAGCAACTTTTTCCAACCATCTGTTTATGTATTCTGTGCCATCAACAAAGGAGAAGCAACACACGTTTGGAAATCCAGGCCTCTCACGTTGGTCTCACTAGTGGTTGATAGGTCTGATAGTGGATCATCATATGGCCATAAATATCTGGTTGGTGGTATACCTACCCCTCTGAAAAATGATGGAGTTGGTCAGTTGGGATTATGAAATTCCCAACACGTGGAAAAACCATAAAGTTCCATGGTTCCATTATTGATTATGATATCCCATGAAATATCCCATTAAAAACATCAAAAATCCCATCACAAAAAGCCATGGTTCCAGTCACCACCAACCAGATTATCATCATTATTCCAATTATGAACCACTATTAACCATTATTAACCAATGGCTGTGAAGATTCCCACCTGACCGAATCTATCCACAGCTGCTTCCGTCGCAGCCCTGATCTACTGAGGCGCCGTGAGTCGCCCAGTCGCGCGGTCGCCCGGTGGAAAGTTGGAAAAGATGTGTTCTCTGAAAATGAGGCATCCCAAAATCATTTCTGAAGGGATGATAGTGTGGTTAGTAATGGTTAATAAATGTTAATAATTAATAAGATCTCATGGATTTTTGTCAAGTTTGTAAAATTTATTGCCAAAAGTCAGGGTAAATCCAACTAGATGCACCCATTTCGCGATGTACAAACAATCCGAAAAATCTCGGACGAAACAACAACGAGCAAAACCGCAGACGCGGTTTTGCAAATCACCAACGCATCCCGAAGTTCAACAGGAAAACAAGTGACAGGTATCACAGGTCCCAGCTTTGAGGTTTACCCTCTGGTAAACTAACATAGCTATGGAAAATCACCATTTATAATAGGTAGATCAACTATAAATGGGCCAATTTCCATAGTTTTTTGTATGTTTACCAGAGGGTACCAGTTTACCCCGACTGAGTCGTCGGGTGTCAGATATGGAGAGGTTGCCACGAACGAAAGTGGGGAAAGCTATGACGATCAACTTTGCGGTACCCAGACGGCTCTTCAAACAACTTCTATCTGGGTAAATAGTGTATGATACTTCTGGGTAAACAATAGTCTGGGTAAATTATAATATATAACAATTCACTAACCTGAATTCAGGCTATTTTGGGGATATTTTCCCTTACTAATCATGATTCCAGTGAGGGAGAACAGTGAGGTCGTCATGAAATTCACCCAGTTCTATGGATGCAATGAAAACTTATCATGGACGCTTTATTCTATGAACGACAAACTTCAGGATGCTAAAGGGTCTCCATGATATTTTCATAATACAACGCTGGATGACATGATGCACCTTCAAACTCCATATGCTAAATATCTCTTTTAATATGCTTAATGCCATGCCAGGACTTCGCAAATGACCTTTGCAAAGGCCTGACTACTGGAGAATCTACCTGAGGGTGCATCCAAGAACCATATTGTAAGTGGGCAAGAACCATATCGAACGTTATATGTGGAGTATACAGGGGTTATATAAGGCTTGTAAACCATTTACTGGGATGCACATCCAAGTGCCATGTTTAGGGTAAACGCATGGTAGAAACTCATCGCCGAACCGAACTTCAAGGAGCATGTAGTAGGTTTGGTATGGATTGCCCCCCGGCCACCCCAGGTACATTCGGATTGTAAATAGGGTTGATATAGAGGTAACATGTCCGTTTCCCCCATGAAAGTGGCTATCATTTGACACACTTATCTGGTTGGTGGTATAACTACCCCTCTCAAAAATATGAAAGTCAGTTGGGATTATAATTTCCAAATATTTCCAATATATGGAAAAATCAAACATGTTCCTTTAACCCTGAAAATCATATGGGTCAAAGATAGGGTATCTAAAATCGCGGAACGGCATGAAAAAAACCAGAAACACACTTGGAACAGTCCCTGCAGATGGGGATTCAAAAACTTGGCAGCCAGACCCGAGCCAGATCTACTTGGATGACCAGTCCCCAGTATGACAGATGCTGAAGCAGGTGGCTGTCGGTTGCGGAGCAACCCGGGTTTGCCAAGGTCATTGACGGCTTTGCCATTCTTGCTTGTTGAAGCCCAGCTACATTGTTGGTTAACTAAGATTAAATCCAATTCCCGTGAAATCCCGTTAATTTCCATTACATTCCCATGAAATGATATTGGGGGGCCCTTGTGCAAACAAACCCATCCCCAAAAAAACGAATTGGGGGTCTTTTACATCATCCAGAGTAAGGGCGGTATATCCAATTAAAAGAAAACCCGTGAGGATAGTTTTATTGTAAGGACCAATATTTTTTTCCCATTTGTCCCAGCACTATTCCAGAATTCTTCCACAATTGCTTTTGTTATCACATAATAGTCCTATCCATGTTATCCGATAATTACATCAAAATTGCCGACATTATCCCGTATGCATCCCATAAGCGTCCAAATCTTCATTGCGCCAAGCTTCAAACAAATAACTCCTCAAGTGCAGAAACCCTGAGGCATCGACCAAACCAATGCGCGAGTGGTGGGTTGAAAGTCTTTCAAATTGGAACATACGCGGTATTAACCAACATGGGGATATACTGGGATATTTCATGGTATATCATGCGATATACAACTCAAAAAAATGATTTTGGGTCTGCCTGAAAACGTGGTATACCATGAAATGCACATTTTTTACAGGAAAAGTGATGTTTACTATTGATCCAACATCAAATTTCTGTGACCAATTTTTCCGCCAAGCCCACATCGAACTTTGGAGGGTTGGGAGAACATTTAAGCCTAATTGCTAGAAACAACCGCTTGATACTGCTTTTCTTCATCATTTTTGGCCTTCCATCTGAGAGTTCTGGGGCCATTACCAGCCTTTGCAACCCATGACTGCCTGCCTTCGTGTTAGTTATTCTGCTATTAAAACTATATATATATATATATTACATATATTAGTTCGCACCAAAACATCCTAGTTAACCTATCCAACTCTAATTACAGTCATCAGAAACAAACTTACCCTCTGTCTGGAATCACACCTGGCAGTGGACAAAACCACCGTTTAAAACGATGATCTTCCCCTAAAAACCTACATTTGTGCGGGATTTCCCATTGCTAGTTTTGATAGATCATCCTACCATCATTGATCGTATGTATTGTTGGCATTTGTTGGCTATGCCTATCTCATAATATCCCCGTTATCAGGATTTACCACCATCTATGTCGGTGCTCCATTCATCTCAATCATATCCCACTATCCCCATTTAAATATGCCATGAAATATGCCATGAGATCGCCAAAAACCCATGAAATCTTATTGAAAGTCCATTGAAATGCCATATTGAAGTGCCATGAAAATGCCACTTCTGGTGGGAAACACGCCACGCCGTGCCGCGTTTCTTTGCGCCTTCCAGCACATGTTTGGCAAAGGCCGCTTGCACGCTGGTCTCGAGTGTCGGCTCCGACGCCTGGAGTCGTTGAGTCGATTTTTGGTGTGCCAAATGGTTGGTGAAATTCATGGGGATTGGCACACCAACCAAATGGTTGAAATGACATTTTGATTCAAACGCACATGAACATTTTTTTTAAAACCAACCACTGATTGGCACATCCATAGTGACATTTATATGATTAATGGATGTTAATGGGTTTTGATCGGGATTTCATGGGACTTACAATGGGATTTTGGTGACGCTGGTCGAAGGTCCAGCCAACTCCTGAACTCCGCCAAACTTTCCAAGATACACCCCGATGCTCTGGAGGTACCCTCTGGTAATTTAACATAACTATTGAAAATGGTCATTTATAGTGGATTTACCCATAAAAAATGGTGGATCTTTCCATAGTTTTTTGTATGTTTACCAGGCCGGGTAATCGAAAAGGACCCACATCGACTCGAGATTGCCACTCTCACGGCGTACCCGTCTTGAAGCCCTGTGTCGAAAATCTCGCTTCAGCCGCTGCAAGATGGCGGCCCGGATTTTGATGGAGTCTAAACGGGATCTCAAATGGGATATCACCTCCCATGTATTGAGATGTAACCATTAAGAAAAAAACTGAACGTCAGCAATGTAGATTTCCAGTTCTTTTTGATTCCCCAAAATGGATTAAACCAATAGGACAACAACAATCTTCAACAAATCCAGGAAATCACAGGCTGGGTTTATAGAACATGAAACCAATCGTTCTTAACGTAGATGCAAAGCTGGGGGAATCCCTAAATCCGTTAAAGATATTCAACCATCAGGTCGTTAAATAGTTCCGGGTTTATTCAAAAATAGGGCAACCCCAAAATGCCATAGTTTAACCGTCCACACTATGGATTTAACCATTAAATAAATAGTGGATATTGATCTATCTCAAATGGGGGATGCCTCTTGAAATTGTTTTGTCCATGACAAACATGATAAGAAATCAGTTCTTGGGAAGCTTTCGCCAAACCCAGATCTTTACAGATTCTTATGTGGGAAAGGAGATGTTCATAGACATTTTACAATTTATTGAATAGATTGTCAATGATGTTCAGACATTTTCAAGGTTTCTATGTGGGATTTGACCAAACTGTGGAAATATAAATCTAACAATTTAAGATATATTGGTGGTGTCTGAAAATGAGGTTTTTGCACTCCCAAGATAGCGTTTTTCCTTTTTTTCAATTTTGCCAAAGATGAGATTCGAATCCATTGATAGCTACTGCAGCTACTGGTTGGTGGTTTTTATCCATCTTGAAAAATATTCAATAGGAAGGATTATCCCATATATTGTGGAAAATAAAAAATGTTCCAAACCACCAACCAGGCTAAAGTACCAAAGTACCCGTCAAGATCTCTCCAGGAATCATTTTCTTAAAATGGAAAAGCCTGTATGAAACGACCAACCTACACCGAAACTCGCGGCTTGTTTACATACCACCGTTTTGTTTTGGTTAGCTCCATGTTTGCACTCATTAACGTTGATAATTAATCATTGTTAATAACAAACCCTGTATCCTTATGTATTTTTTTTGCTGGCAGCATCCCATTATATCACCATTCCGGTTGGTGTAATCCGTTTTTGCACCAGAATTTGTCGCATTTCTTTAATGGATAAACTTAACCCTTATTAACGTGGTAAAGCCAAATGTAAACCCAATTTAGAATTTGGAAATTTTTGACCTGCCAAAATTGGAGGTTTCCTCTTGGGTTTACCACCTGACAGGCTAAGAAGTCGTCGGCAGCCGCTTGCAAGACGTGGAAACCCATCTGTGGACGTCCTGACAATGGGTGCAAGGTCGTGCCAGGCATTGGTTTTCAGTAATAACCATAGAAATTTCCAGTTATATATGTTATTCGGGGTCATCTTGAAAGGATTTGCAAGTCACCATGGTTGTTACTAATTCATGGTCTAATGAATGCCTTGGGTGATTTGGGGTATCCCATTTTAGGACATCCCCACCTGCGTTTTCAGTTGATAATAGATTCAGTTGACCTTGGGTGTTTAACATTCCTAAAACAATTCACGTGGCAATAGCCAAGCAAGATTTGGACACTTCCCAGCTATATACGGGTTACACCTAGGCTAGCGCCCCCATACTTGGAACGTCATCCCACACTTTCAATGTAATCACCGAGGCAAAAAGACCTATGAACCAGTGGAATTGACTTATGAGCGTTGGTCTAAAAATTGATTGACTAGGCTTTAAGGTGATTAAACCACCCATTTGGGAATGGTAACCATACCACCAATAAAAATGGTGATGACTGGGCGATGGTTTATTGTTTTACCAACATTATTCTTCGATGGGTGAGGATACACCAACCTATGAACCTATGAACGGCACCACCTGGCAGCAAGGGGTTTTTGGGGATCATCTGCCATGGCATGGAACCAATGGAACCTCTCCGAAAAATGGAACGCAACTGGGATGATATGTTCTGGTTGGGACCTACCCCTCTGAAAAATGATGGAGTGAGTAACAGTTGGGATCATGAAATTCCCATATATTATGGAAAATTTAAAAAAATGTTCCAAACCACCAACCAGTTTTTGCTTCAAGTATATAATCTTGACGCCCAAATCTTGTGATAGTGGGTGTGCGCAAAAAAATACTTGGATTGATTCATTGAAAACTAGCTCCAAATGGTTGCAAATTGGGCATGGTTGAATATTGTGGATCCCGAACTGCTTTGAGAATTCTACTTGGCATGGCCAACCTCGGGGCTCGCCTGCAACTTGGGGCTCGGCATTTCGCGAATATCTGTGCCTTATCCTCTTTGTATATGGGTTTGTCTGAAAATAGGGTATATTCCCAATTATAGCCATTTAATAGGGATAATGATCATTAACCATTGGGTTTAGGGGTACACTATTTTCAGACACACCCATATGGGCCAGCTCAAATCTGTTTTGCACCCTCCAATAGGGTGCCGCATCGGACGCTTTATGAGACCAAACGGTGTTTCCAGCTTCTGACTCGTACGGAGCGCGCACCAAGAGCATGGCGATAGATGGCACTGGGGCAGACTCATCGAAGCATGGTTCAGCGCGGGGCCACGGTCCACAGTTGAGGGGATGATACCACTGGTGTGGTGCATCCCAGGAATAAGTACCGATGTAACCCTACTGATATTAATGGAATATGTTTAGTGCTGTTTAGTTGTATGAGTTGTATGTGGGTTAATGAAACGGATCCTAACTGGGATGCACATCCAAGTGGGACATACTGCATCTTCACGAGACGAATATCCTCAGATCTCACAAAGGAACAGTTACCCTCTGGTTATGACTAACATAGCCATGGAAAATCACCATTTTTAGATGGTTTACATATGGTTTACCTATTAAAAATGGTGATTTTCCATGGCTATGTTAGTCATAACAAAGGAACAGTTACTGTCAAAATGGAAAGGGTTGGTTTATATAGCGTACAGACATCCACCAAGTAAAACCCCACACCCCAAATTTCAATGTTACACAAAACTCTATTCAAGTTCAGGGTTTGATTTTTTGTCCCCGCAACCCCAAATTTCAATGTTGTCTTTGGGCTGCCTACTTGGGTCTGGCGGACAAAAAAATCAAACCCTGAACTTGAATAGAGTTTTGTGTAACATTGAAATTTGGGGTGTGGGGTTTTACTTGGTGGCTGTCTGTGGGGTTTGATTTTTTTGTCCATCTACTGTATTATGAGTTTTAATGGAACTGCCCAGCAAAGGTTGACCAAGGTGATTTTAATAAAAATCTACTGGAACATCATCACAGCAATATAGGCAAGTGGGGATACGACACAACCAGCATTACCAACTACTAGGGGTCTTTTTTAAGCGGGGACATCTTTCAAGCAAGCAAAAGGACATGTTCAAGACCCCTAGTAGGAATATGATTTTATAGTACCCTCTGAGACTCTGGTAATTTAACGTAGCTATGGAAAATTGATCATTTGTAATTAGAAATGGTGACTTTCCATAACAAACTCTTAGTGTGCCAGATGGTAATATTATTTTTGCAAAATTCTATTCATATATTATTATAGCATCCCACTTTGAAGGTGCCCTGTGCTTTGACTTCTGCCGCTATGGTAAAGTTAAATGGGATTGATGAGCCCGTGGTCATCCCAGCAGCATAACTGGGATTCCTTACAGTGGGTATATGAACCTCTATTAATGGGGGAATGACCAGCCCCCAAGATCGGTATATCCCACAATATTCCCATCATACTACCGTTAAATACCATCATATTACATTATTCTTGATTACACCCCCACATTATCATCATCTTAATCCAACTTTTGACCAAAGCATATATGTGCGTTTTTTTTAATGAGTGGAATGCATTTCTTCCCAACGCAGTGTCATGCAACGCGTTCCTGCAGCATTGCGATACTCTCAGCATCTTAATGGAAGCAAGAACGATGACACGTGCAAACTGGTGCCCCCTAGTTTGTTGGTTCCCCGTCCAAGAGAACAGTAACGTATATTCAAGTCAGCATAAACCCAACACTTTCCTAGTTATAAGCCAAGTTACTCCATGAACCAGGCACGTCCTCTAACATCGCTGTGAGATCGTTATCATGCGCAGTTATAATTCATCCAAATGAATTAGTGAGGTAGACATTCCTATGAACATTCATGACAATCTAGCGTAACATCATAAAGGTGTAATGTCAACCCCATTGCTTAATTAATTAAAATTGACCTTATATATATATATATTGTATATAATCATATATCATTATATATAATTGTATATAAATATATATATCATTATATATAAAATTGTATATAACATCATTATATATAATCATATATAATTATTTATACTAACATATGTGCATTATTCTACCCCCGTATACATGTGCTGGTTACCTGGTGAACTATCCCGATTTTTAGAAAGGGCGCCTCGACCACGGACGTTGGCGTTGGAATTGATTTCACAGACCTGCAATGGGCTGCAGGGTGTTTGACTATCCGGGGATAAAATGTTCAATTTATGTACTCAAAAACAATGAAACGCATATTTCACCACAGATTAAAAAGACATAAAATGGGAATACATGGCATGTCACCAGCAATGTGAAAACTATAAGGGTCTACCGAGCACGTCAATCCACTATGAGAGCAGGTTCTCTCAGCTTCTCTCATTCTGCAATTGTCATCCCCACTTGCCACCTATGTAGCACTTGTCCAGTCTCTACCATGTACATGGGTCAACCGCCGATCACCATTACAAACATGTTTTACAATTCAAAGTGCAACATATCGGGGACCACCAATCACTAAGGACCTTTTTTAGCTAATCAATCTCACTTTTTGAGAATTGGTGACTTATATCCCTACTTGGGGGTTTCCTAAAATAGGGGTACCCCTAAAACATTCATTTAAACAGGATTCGGATTTTCCATTATAAACCATCCATTTTTGGGTATCCCCATTATTTCTTATGGTCAGAACACACACCCTGGCCATAGAGTGAATGGCAACTCATTGGTGAGAAAAACACCATTCAGGACGGTGGTTCAATCTACAAGTTTGAGTGATCATGTCATGTCAGCAATTGTCAACCCGGAATGATTTTCCAAAATTACATTGATGCCCAGTTTTGAGCTGGGTATGCAAGAATATATTATCACATATCTATCTATCTATCTGTCTGTCTATTTATCTATCTATCTACCTACCTATCTATCTATCTATCTATCTATGTAGGAAAACATTAAATTCATATGAACACATGGGACAAACTCATGAACTTCCAATTTAGCTGTCAATTTTCGCAGAATTTTCGTTGGTCAGATCTGCATTCTTGGATGCTTCCGTTCCCATTCTTGGAGCTGAAAAAATCTCTGGTACCAGTCAGTTTACCCAGGAATCGGGAAAATTCATCCCATTCACCTCTTTCTGGTATCCGGGATCCCATTATATCAATGGGATTTCCAGGATGCTAAAATTAAAATGGAGGTACGTTAGTACCATATTTTGGGCTATAGAAATTGTGGGTATATTGTGGGTATATCCCCTGAATTTAGGCCTGAAAAAAAGGTAGGTACCTCCAATTTAGTTTAGATTCCTGAAATGGCCATTGATTATAGCTTGGATTGCTCATGGAAGCCCACAAAAATAAGACATCAACATGGTCCAAGATGACGTCCCTGACCGCCTTCAAATGTTGGAAGGCCAAATGAAACAGCTTTGCCACAAGCAAGGCTTGATGGAACACCAATTCAATGAGTTTTCTGGCCAACAGGCCCACCAGGCTGCTTCGCTCCAGCAGCAGTTGAATGCACAAGGCCAACAACTGCATGGCCAAATTGAATCGCAAAACCCGAGTATCCAGGCCATGTTTGAGAACCAATTGGCCCACATCCGTGGATTGCTCTCCAAAAGACCCCGTGATGATGGGGATTGACGGTGGGGGCAAGGGGTGTGGCTCATGCTTGTCATGTTGGTATTTCTTCCCTGAATCGATTCCCAAGTCGTAGATTTCACGGGAAAGTCAGCCAAAGCATAGACTCAGCCAATCCCGGAGAAGCATCAATGGACAATTTCCTCATTTAGAGAAGATGATTTTCCCAGCTACAAACGTCCATAAAAACTTCGGGGATTTTCCAGCCACGGGCCATGATGACACGGGAGGCTACTCTTTCCACCAACAAAAAAACAGTCAGCCCCAAAAAGCCAGGTCGGTACCCCCAAAGATATTACCATCATTTCTGGTTTTGAAAGTCACCATAAATCAAGCACGATCAAGTGGGGAATCTTGCTATTTTCCGTTGTAAACTTCACCCGCAGCATTCAGAAAACAAATTCTTTCCAACCTTTGGCTTTCACACCGGCCCATCTCTAGATGTTGTGGACGCATCTATAGATAACCATCAACGATTCAGAGTTTTTCTTTTGTTTTTCGTTCCTGATGCTCACACTAATATTTGACAATAGCGAATGTTTTAACATGTTTTCACATATTTTACCCAAGTTATTACTATTAACAAAACTATTTAATTCTTTCCCTTGAACAATTACTATTATCTAGCCAACATTCCATTTAGGTTGATATCCACTCATCAATGAATACCCAAGACAATCTTTCTTGAGATGCCGCAGTATTCTGAAAAAATGGTTCAGATGGCTCCGTAGTAATTACATGTCCCAATCATAGTAAAATAATCTGGTTGGTGTTTGACCTACCCCTCTGAAAAATATAAGTTCGTCAGTTGGGATGATGACATTCTCAATACATGGAAAGTCAAAAAATTAATGTTCCAAACTGCCAATCAGTCATCTAAAATACCTCCGATGTTTTTTCACGAAATGAACAGATCCAAAGCAATGAACGTCCCAATAGGGGACGATGTGCGTCCCCTGCATGGCCCCTGAGAGGACGAACTACGGCAGCCAGCCATGATCCACTTAATCCAATCACTACATGGGTACTCCATTACTCCCCAGTTTCGTATTCATATCCCATTCATATACCAAATCATTACCATATATTTAATTGGTCCAGATATGTCCAGATATCATTTTGTTGTTGGAGATAATCCCTACAGTATTTCCATGATATTCTTCAACATTCTTCTACTTCAATCCACCCAAACAAAAACATGAAACTCTATAATTGACAGTTAAGTTCCCGAAGCATCCTATATATCATTTTCAGACGCCCATATCCATTATTTCTTGGCAAAACCCTCAAAAGATAGACAGATGGTTAGGCATCTGTATGGTATCTGTTTTGATCGTTAAATTCCCTGGTTATATCCCATTAAATCACCACTAAAGCCCATGCAATGGCTGGTTCATTCCTCTAAATCCATGTATTAAGGTTCATCCCCATGAAGGAATATGTGTTGCTTGACCTGATGAAATCCCATTAATGATGAAATCCCATCAAATCCCATTGTATAATCTCATCAAAATCCCTCGAAAATCGAAGGAAAACTCACATGAACATCTGAAAATCACATGAACACTCCCATGAAATTCTGAAAAATCCTATGGTATTCTATGGTATTTTTTAAGGTCCTATCCCAACTTCCAATGAAAATCCTCCCTCCGCGCCTTCCGCAGCAGTTCCTTCATCTTCTCCGTCCTCTCCAGCTCCGAGGCACTGGCATTGGCCTCGGAGGCCGCAGAGACCGCCAGCCTCGGCCGCGGGTTTGGGAGGCCATGAACATCTTGGGGAAACTGGCATTTCAACAAGAAACCTTGGGGAAAATTAGGGAAAACTGAGGAAACTATTTGGAATATGAGTAAACTAGGATTTAGACGACAAAGATTGGAGATTATAGTGGTATCTTTGGAATGAAAGAAGCGTGATTTCATGAGCAAAACTGCGGAAATCAATAGCCGCCACAAGAACGGGTCAACAAGTATGGTTGTCGACTGAAAACTTTAAACATCACTTGGGATCAGAAAGCTAGGGAGGATCAGTAGCAGCCAGAGATGCAACACAAGAACTAACTATAACAAGCAACACGCAACGTTTTAAGAAACATAGGATTTGGTGTGTGTGTGTACTGAACATGTTAACAGTGAGGTGACACAGTGATGACCAAAGGGAGAAGGATAATGCCTTTCATCGTGATGCTTGCATATACAATTGTGTAGGAATCACTAGACATATATATATATGTATGGAATAGAAAGGGATATATTTGATTGTAAGAAGGAGGCATTCCCGTATATATAGTCCCATCACATCATCATATCCAATATTCATGGGATACACATATTTATTTGTGATGGTGACATTTGTGTGATCGACACAAATGTGACTCGCAGTTGCGAGTCAAACGCAAAGTTCTTGGCTTCCAAACTGCAGGATTTTGGAAGTACCTTCTGGTAATTCAACATAACTATGGAAAATCACCATAAACAAAATGAATTTTCCCATGAAAAAATGGTGGATCTTTCCCATTCGTTTTTTGTCAACGTTTACCAGATGGTAATAGGGATGGAAATTCCAATAGTTTGGTGATGAATCCCGGGGTGAATGTCCAGCTTGCGAGCTGGTGATTTCAAGATTCATAGACGGCCTTCATACAACTTCATACAACTTCGACATCACCAAACTCTTCAAAATCTCCATGTTGACAAAACCCATGGTCTTCTTGCGAAATTTCGTAGCCCTATTCCATCTCAAAAAATACTAGTTGGTTGATAGGTTTCCCTTCTATGGGTTATCATAATCCCCTACAGTAACCAATCAACCAGGGTATTTTTAATGGTTCATGTCGTTTCGCCCAGGAACTGCTGAAGATCCAAAGGGGTCTCATTCTGCGTCGACGTCCTGGTCGGATCCGAGTGTGCTGCAACCGCTGGAAACTCAGCTTTGAAGCAGGTGAAATGAGGATTTCAACGAGGATCGAATCAACGATTTCAATGAGGATCGAAATGATCTAACCAAGAAAAACACTTTTGTTTTTTTGTATTTTTTTGGCGCTTTTATGACATTTTTTTGGACACATCCGTTTTTTTATCCCAGGAGTCAAATTTTGTGGTGGGAAGAGCTATCGGCTTCATGGATCCTAGTGAGGGGTTTCTGTACCAAACAACCTCAAGAATGGCACTGAGAGATACATCCCTATTTTTAGGTGAATGATCCGTTGCCAGCTTTGAGTGCAAGGCTTGGTAAATCTTCGTTTTTGATTGATTTTGAACATCACCTAAACAAGTATCCGCTGGAGATATTGGGGCCAATTATCAGGGGTATAATCTCAGGCACAACGCCGGGGACCGCCACACCGCGCAAAGAACTGCAGCCAGCAAAAACATTGTCTGCAATAGACTTGAACCTTGAAAGGCACGCTTAAATTAAATGAAAATTATTTAAATATATTTTTTGTGATTTTTAACGTTTTTTTTGATGATTTCACTAGGCCGGCAAAAAATGGAGAATTTCCAGATATGTTTTTTTTACGATTTTTCGGTTGAATTTATGATTTTTGATGATGAAATTTATGATTTAGTTTCACTTGATGTGGAAGCAAAAAGGGGAAACCACAAAATTCTAACCAAAAAAAACGTAACAAAATCATATAAAAACGCAAAACAAAAACATGCAAAACATCATACAAATTTCATTAAAAATCATAAATCGATGATTTTCAGTTTTTTTTTAAATTTGTTATCATGTTTTTCTGATCTTTCTTTTTAATTTTTTGTTTTTGTTTTTTCAAAAACTTTTCTGTTTTTTTAAATGATTTTTTTTACATTTTTTATCATTTTTTGTTTTTCTCGGAATTAAACATCATTAAAAAAGATACAGCCACGCAGGTTCTATCCACAACCGCACAAGCGATCACTGCATGATCACTCAAAAAGACCCGCGGCATCATCAACGACTTCAGCAGGATCTCGTGGGAGGCCGGCGCATTCGAAGGCCATGCCCCAGTCCGCAGCATCGATCTCATCTTCTGACTCAGGCGGCGCCCAATCCCGCGGAGGCATGCGGTTCCAACCGGAGAAGTCCAAGACGGAAGATTCAAGTATAGCATCAGGCCCCAGGAAAATCCGGAGGGCAAAGGGAGAAGCCCGCAACATCACAGCAACTTGTTGGATGATGACAGAATGAAGCTGACGACCGTTGCTGAGCTCAGGCGTTGAAACTGAGCAAGTTCCTAGGGGCGAGCCGGAAACATTGGACACAATATGCATGGCCACCACTGGCTGAGGAGGAAGGGCAAGGCCGCGATAATCCAGCTTCATTGCTATGTGAAGAGGTATGTCAGGAAAACAAAAGTTGGATCCCCCGGAGAACGTGGACAAGCGCAAAACGTCCGGCAAAGCAGATACGGACTTGAAAATGTGACATGGCATCGCTGCATGGACGCCTCCTTTGACCTCATAGTCATAGTAGTGACGCTGCGGGTGCAGAGCCGTGCAGCATGCAAAGAACTCATTTGAAAGCACGGCAAATGATTCCAAGGCGAGCAAGCTCATCAGCAACGCGTCCAACGGACCATCGGGCCACTGACGCTTCATGAGCAAAGAAGTAAGCATGCCCCGATCTGGATGCGAAAGAGTTGCGGCCAACGTGAAAACAGAATTGCCGTCCTTGCATCGCTCATTGAAATTCCCTAAGCTCGATGCTGCACTGTTCCGCAACATGAGAATCGCCGTCGGGACTTGCTCGCATAAAACTGCCGTGTAAAGAGGCGTGAAACCGTCCAGGTTCTTGCAAGTCAGGCACGCATTTGATTCGAGCAGCAGTAAAACAAAGGACAGCACGCCATGCTCGCATGCGGAATGCAGTGCGCAGGCATGGTTCCACGAGCATGCTTGGAAGGAAACATGCAAAAGCCTCAAGAAATCGACCTGCTGGAAAATGTGCCGAAAGCCGCGGCTAAGAGGAGAGAGGCCCATTACAGCGGGCAGTGTTGCAAAGAATTGCAAAATGTTGCAGAGGGAATGTGGGTCAAGGTCCTGTAAAGATGACACAGTGGCAGGCACAGAATTTGCAACGGGGCTTGTCGCCACACTGCCAGCACGAACTATAGAAGATGCAACGGAGCCGCATGAAGATCCAACGCTTGAAGAGACACGTTGGCTGTTAGAATACGGACAAGGTCTGGCCAAGACAAAATGGAAGGATTTGCGGGTCATCAAGCCAAGCACGCACGGGGCCCGAGCAGGAAGTAGGGTGCATGTTTCACTCACACAACCATTGGGTTGAAAATGAATGTATGAGGAAGAAGTGTGAAATTTGGCCACAAAGATGCCATCGCGGAACCAGTCCGATTTATTTGCTGCCAGTAACGTAAGATGATCGCTAGACAACCAGCAACTCTGAGGGCAAGGATTACGCTGGTCTGAAGCGGCAGTCATCGAAACGATTTGCTCGCTTGAGAAAACGTTTGGTGCTGAAACCATCAAACGCACCACCTCATGCATCACATCCTGCCAGGAAATGCCAAGGTACGTGGCAAGAGCACGGTACCCGCAGCGGCCGTCCCCTGCAACATTTGAGATGTGGAACAGCTGGCCAGCGAAGCAAAACTTGCGAGGCTGATACGCCGTGCAGTTGGCTGGAATGCGCTTCGCTTTGGGTGGCAGGAATGCAAGCCTCCACGCTCATAGCTGAGCTCAAACAAGAAATCTCCGTCCGGCAGTTGCAGCCGCCCACGCAGCAGCTGCAACTGCCGGAAGGCAGCGCCACGAGGCGGAAGTTGGACCTGGTACCTGCGCCCATCGCGCAGGTACAGGTGAACAAAAGCCTCCGCTGCAGCGTAGGCCCCAAGTCGCGTTTCCGCATGGAAGTTCACCCAAGACGTTCGTTGCTCCAACCAGATTGCACCATACCACGTGCAAACTCTGACCTCAGAATAGCTATACTTTCAAAACCCCGTAATCCAAAAGAACCACCCCCAAAAAATAGTACCAATCTTATGGAAACATTATCATCACCAATCATTATGCATAGTAACGTCTTGGAATCGAAATGCTTACAACTGGATGCAGGGATGGTCCATACATATCCCCTTGTAACAAAAAACAAAAGACCCAACCAAAACAAAACCATACAAAAAAGCATCATCAAAAACGCCAAGGCACAGCATCGTACGGCAGGTTGAAAAAACCCAGCCGGGCCAGGAACCGAAAGGGCCCCGGCAGTCTGCAGTGCCCGAGAGCAACCTGAAACAGGGTTGACGTCACAACCAAAAGTCCCAAAACGTTTCTGAAACTAACTTTAAAGCTGTGTCCTGTAAACAACAACTTAAAAAAAAGACATCTCGGCCCCTTTAAAGTTCACCCTGGCCTGCAGCATCCAGAGGGCCCTCGGCTCCAGCATTTGCAGCAATGAAATGCTGCTGGAAATGCTGCTGGACACGACAAGGGCAAAGGTGTTCATACTGAGAACAACGAGAAAAAAAACGGCGCCAGGGCGAGAACAAACGAATTAGCCAAAAGCTGCGATGTGCTTCATGTGGTGACATGCCGTGAACCCGCTGGATTGGACCAAACCCCGGAAGCTGGAAGAAACACAAAGGGTACAATTACAAAGCCCTTTGAATCCATTATTTTCGGAGGATACCAGAACAGCTGTAAAGCCAACAAATTCAAAAAGGGATCCAAACGTCAACTAATTGAAACACAACAGGCCCGAAGTCACTGAACTCCTTTACCCTTTTCAGAGAATTCTTACTTCATAATAATTTCCTTTTGTTGTTGGTGATCCCATACAGTAACCAGACCCGTCAGACCATTCTACGTTAGCAACAAACCATAACGAAGAACAGCAAAATAAGGATACACAAAACAGCATGCACTTCTTTCTCACTGCATTCCTTTATTGCGACTTGCAACTGTACCTGCTTTCTGTGTCCAGAACAATCTGAGTTTGATTCAAATCCAAATCACATGCTGAGTTGCATGATAATGCATGTCACACAATGAATTGGTCTACAAGTCGCAATAGGAATTGCAAAAAACACAAAGCGAAAATCTGAATTAACCAGACTTGCTTTTGAAATTGGCAGATGAAGCATATATGATAATGTGATTCACAAAAGTAGCAACTCAAATTATGAATCAGTAGCTTCAACACCCCAAACACTCTCAGAGAAGCTGCATCTAGCCATATTGCGGGTTGGATTGTAGGTTACGTTTTACTTCAAGCGATATTCAAAATAGGAATTAAACATTTGCATCTCACACTTTGAACTGCGCCAGCACCAAAGTGCCAGTATTAAACCACGCGAACGCAGCCAGCCAAAATGTGAAGTACGGGCAGCCAACTACCAAAAACCAACAACGAAGCAGGTACAAGCACCAAAGCGCAGGAACCGAGCCAAAACGGAAATTACAGGCGGGCAACCGCCAAAAACCCATTGCGAAGCAAGTGCAAGCACCAAACCGCACGAACGGAGCCGAAATAGAAATTACAGGCAAGCAACCGCCAAACACCAACCACGACGCAGGTACAATCGCCAAATCGCAGGAACGAGCAAAAACACAAAGTAAGTATAGGCAAGAAACCGCGAAAAACCGCAGGAACCGAGCAAAAACGAAATTACAGGCGGCAACCGCTAAAAACGAACGACGAAGCAGGTGCGCCAAACTCAGGAACAACAACGAAGCTGGTACAAGCACACCAAACTACAGGAATGGAGCCGAACCAGGCAGGCAACCGCAAAAACAAATACAATCACCAAACCACAGAAACGACAAACAGGCAGGAAAACGCAAAAAAGCAACAACGAAGCAGCTACAAGCAACAAACCGCAGGAACTGACCCGAAACAGAAATTACAGCTAGGCAACCACCAAAAAACAACAACGAAGCAGCTGCAAGCACCAAGCAGCAGAAACCCGAAACAGAAAGTACAGGTAGACAACCGCCAAAAACTAACTGCGAAGCAGGTACAAGTACCACACCGCAGGAACAGAGCCGAAACGGAAATTACAGGCGGGCAACCGCCGAAAACAACAACGAAGCAGCTACAAGAACCCGTCTGTTGGAGATTATACCCCTGATAATTGGGTGATGCTGAATTAGAACATTTACCAACCCATTAGGTACAGTGAGTTTATCGGAAATCCCATTCACTATAGTTTTATCACCCATAAATCCAACAATTGATTCTGATAATTCTGTATATAAGTTATATATATATATATATCTGGTTGGTGGTTTCAATCCCTCTGAAAGAATATGGAAGTCAGTTGGGATTATCATTCCCAATATATGGAAAGTTATAAAATTCATGTTCCAAACCACCAACCAGTATAATCCCAGATTTTCGCCATATCAATCCTCCAAATCCACCATTTTCCCATTTTTCCGCACGTTTTCTCAGCCATTTGGCCTCGGTGACACCACTTTATTGGTGTAAAACTACAATTTCCAAATACCCTCTGGTTATTTGTTACATAGCCATGGTATAGGTGGCCCATAGAAATAGGTGGTTTACCGTTCTTAAAAATTGTGATTTTCCATGGCGACCTGTTAAATAACCAAAGGGTAATCCTAATGGATGGACCATTACTTGGAGGATCATCCCATGGTCCTCCTCAGTGGTGAACGCAACCCTCGCCCGTTTTTCGGTCCCATCCAGGGGGGTTATCCCATATATAACTGAGTTTTTACTGGGAACATCGTCTATACATAGGGTTTGATTAGGAGATCATATCAATTATCAAGACACCTATTAGACAATTTTTTTTTATCCCAGTAGTATATTTTCATGTTGGTATACAAGAATATATTTGATATTTACCAAACAGATGTTTAATGAACATGATATTAACTCAGATTATACACAGAGATATGTTCATGTTCACCAACTCAGATGTTTAATCATTGCCAATCTGAGGTACCCTGCACAAAAATGAAAATTATTAGCTGGTTAGTAGATAATCCCATTGCTACCAAAAGACTAAAGGATTAAACTACCCATCTAAAATTGACCTAGTAATGAGGACGTTCCCAAAGCCATAGGTTTGAATACTCAAATAGTCAAATTTTGGATAATTTGGGGGTACCCTCATTTTAGGAAACCCCTACTGGTTGGTGGTTGACCTACACCTCTGAAAAATATGAAAGTCAATGGGGTTGGGATTATCCCATATATTATGGGAAAAATGTTCCAAACCACCAACCAGCCTATATATGATATTGATGTTTACCCTCTGGTAAACTAACATAGCTATTGAAAATTGCCATTTATAGTGAGTTTTCCCATTAAAAATGGTGATTTTCCATAGTTTTTTGTATGTTTACCAGAGGGTAATGAGGACATTTCCCAAACCTCGGAGTAGCTATCGTTTTTAGGCGCCTCTTGGCCAACCACTGACTGACGGCGCTGATCGATGGCATGGAGCGTGGCACCACACCCGCGCCGCGGATGGCGTGGTCACAGACGTTGTGTTCCTACGGCGTGGGGCTCTTGGACGCTCAAAGAAATAAAAGGGGGGGCATTGCCATCCCCATGAAATTGCGGGTAGATCCCAATTGGTTTGTTATTTTTGGTTGGTGTCTCTCATTTACTGATTACTGTCATACCCCTCATTTATCGCTGGTAAATTCACATGAGTCAAGTTCAAGGTATCTACTTGGTGGTTCATCCCAGAGATCGTAAGTGGTCTATGACATTGAATTATAACAGTTACAAGTAAGTTAAGTAGGGTCACCCTCTGGTAATTTAACAGTTTGCTATTGAAAATGGCCATAGAAATAGTGGATTTACCCATTGAAAATGGTGGATCTTTCCATAGTTTTTTTGTATGTTTACCAGAGGATAATCCCAATATTCACATGATTATCCCATGATTGTCCCATTATTATACCTTAAATCATCCATTTTCCTAGGATTTTCCATGAAACAAACCATTATTATCCAACTTAGTAAGTTAATCCACGTCCATGGTCGATCCACAACTTTCGCCCGCAACGCTTCACCGGCAGATCGCCTTGTTCGGACCGCACCAGCTTCGGTGCAGCCGTGGCCAATTGGACGACCCTTAAAATTGGATTGTGAACAAATATATTACCAAGAAATTGATATAGTACAGTATTCATATGAATTGATATGATATAGAAATATATTACCATTCATATGATATAGAAATGTATTATCCATGTGAACAATATTGGATTATGAAATTGGTATCTATATAACTATTCATATGGATAATACAACTATAATATTGATATAGTCTTGGAGATATTATTTGGGTGGCCAAAACTATATGGCCATTACAATCCATTACACACAAATCATATTTGTGAAGTCTATATTGGACTGTCTATATATAATTGTGTGTTAGCTTCCTATATCGTCATTACACACAAATATAGACGATCACAGGTTTTGGTCGTAAATTCCATGGTGTATGCCCCATCTTTGCCAGATATTAGTATGGAAAACTTGCAAAAAACGACAACAATCAAAAAAGTCTTCGCACATCCCATACTCTAACTTCAAAAATCCTATACTGGTTGGTGGTTTCAACCCCTCTGAAAAATATGAAAGTCAGTTGGTATTACTATTATTATTTCCAAAAAATGGAAAGTCATAAAATTCATGTTCCAAACCACCAACCAGTATAATCTCAGATTTTCGCCATATGAATCCTCCAAATCCACCATTTCCCATCTTCCCCACGTTGTCTCAGCCATTTGGCCCCGGTGACACCCGTGGCCCCCCTGTGGGCACCTCGAGTTGCGCGGTCCAGGGCAATCGCTCGCGACGGCCGAGCCAGTGAACCTTCCATGAAGATCGGCTATCACTGGCTCATTTATCAATGTTTCTATATACAGTACCGGACTATCATATGTATATACAAACATGTACATACACACACATATACATATATATATATACATACATACATATATATATATATACATACATATATATATACAGTGGGATATATATATAATAAACTTTTCATGTATCTCCTCTTGATCTCCTCTTGGCGATCTTCGATGTGTGTTCGGGCGAGGAGCTGGGAACTTTACGATGCAAAAAAAATCCATGTAAATCTTGGTTATCCATGGTTTTCCGATGTATGGATAATCATCCCCATATTATCTTGGATTTGCTGTAGGGGCCCCCAAAAAACATCCAAAACGATTCACTTATAGATTCCCCAGTCATGGTGGATTTTCCATTGGGGAAATAAAAGATGACCTTTAACAAACCCAAATCATTCCAATTCCATCATTTCACCATATTTAGGTTTCATGGAAAATTCGATATATTATCTAAATTTCCATCGGAAAATCACCTTATCCACAACTGGTTGGTGGTTTCAGCCCCTCTGAAAAATATTAGTCAATTGGGATCATTATTCCCAATATATGGAACACATCATGTTCCAAACCACCAACCAGTCATGGATGGTTTTATACCCTAATTGATTTTTGGTGCTAAATTCTGCTCCATTTCTGGGCCATTAGGCTTGATCTCCCAGTCTAATCCCATTGAAACTCCGACACATCGCCATAATTAGTTAGATATTCTCCCAATCATGTAATGGGATCGTCCTATAATCCATTCGATCCCATCATATACCCTCTGGTAAACATAGAAAAAACTATGGAAAATCACCACTATTTCTAAACTTTCAATGGGTAAATCCACTATTTCTATGGCCATAATCACAATCTGGCCACCCCAAGTTTCACCAGATCCACCCATCGCCTCCTCCTCTTCCCTCGGAGGTCGCTGTTCTTCAGCTTGTCGCCTACAACCATGGCCCCAAAAACGTCAACGGTGCAACGTTCTAGCTGTGAAAAGCCGACGTGGAACCACAGTGAACTGATGAGAATCTGGATTTACCTACAAAAACTGTGGATCTTGATAGATTTTAGCTATTTTACTTCGACAAAATGTGGGTTTTAACCACAAGAGATGGGAATTTTAGCTGCAACCTTGGGGATGTTAGCTATAATGCATGGGAATTTCACCTAACAATTGGGATTTCTGCTGGCAAATATGCTGATTTCACCAATGACGTGGGATTGACATGGGAAGGAGTGACAAGAGAGACGGTTTCCAACTATCACCACAAGGTGGTGCCCCATAGTTAGCTATATAGTTTGTTTGCAGCTACAACAACTGTGTTTTTTTGGATAGATCAACTAGTCAATGGGAGTTATAAATGAAGTTACAGGTACCATCTAGGTTTATTATTGGATATCCCCATTAATCAGAAGCACAAAGCCAATATCCTGCCATTTCCATCGCTCCTCTCTCCATCGTTCCCGAACCCCACTGCCCTGCGCCGGGGGGCAATTGAAGTTCTAACGTCACTGCGTCAGCCACCGGCTGACGGGCTTCCGCCTTCGCTGCGGCGCAATGGACTGGCGGTTCCATGGTGTCAATGATTTTCAATGGTGGCCATTTCAATCAACGATCCAAAAGTGGAGAAAAGTGTGATTCTACCATCCAGACTTGAACCCAAACACAGTAAGCCCAATCTGTTGCAGGTTGAACCCCTGAATTGGTTAGGAATGGTTCCAAACCGAAAATGCGGCTACCGTGCTTACAAAAAGGGAGCCCGAAAGGCTATGCAATGAGACCGCGCAGATCTGAGCCTAGATCTGTCGCAATCTCTCTGAATAGCTATTCACGCTGAGAACCATATGGTCCATAGACCAACTGTAGCATCCTTTGGACGAGCGGAAGAACAATGTACCTGCGCTGGTCCACGGGATATTTCAAATGTCAAAAGTGTCACCTGTCCGGTATAAAGTGTATGCCAAAATGTTTGGAGGTCAGAGTCTAGTCAGAGCCTCGACTGATAATGTAATGCCATCAGGGCCATCAGGGCCACCATGCACGATGCGCACAACCACTCTCGTGGCGTTGGCAACTTCCAGGCTTGACAAGAATGGGTTTGCCTGAAACGCACAATTACACTAGCACCGCAGGTTGCAACATCGCGGACGTCACGGGGTGGCATCCCGCAAGGTTCCCGCATGGCTCTGTGGAGCCCCCGTCGCCCCAGTAGGCATAATCTTCGATCCTCCAAAATGGGGTTCGGCACCGCATCCAGCGACCTGGACTTTGATGCCCGCGTCTCTCTTGTGCGCGGCATTCATGTCGAAAGCGTTCTGGATCTGCAAGGCCGCCAGAATGGCAGGGCCGGAGGTGAGAAAATGCTTGAGGCCAGGTCCTTTGGGAAGATGCCATCCCTCCACATGTCAGCACAAGCTGCATGTGGCTCTCTCATTGCAACGCTGGGCTTTTTGAACCCCCGTTTTGGAATTTCCAGGCCTTCAAAGAGGAATATGACCATGAATCCTGGCAAGAAAGTGACCGGACTATTCCCTAAATCCAGGAGGCTTGTGATACCCAGAAAGACCATGCAATGATGAAATGGAGATCAAGCAAACGCACATTTTTTGGCATGTTCTCTTATGAGACCTGCACTCATCTGGCCCACGTTCCATCTGGGTTTGTGTTGGCCACTGGGGTCACTATACCCTCTGGTAAACATACAAAAAACTATGGAAAATCACCATTTTTAATGGGAAAACTCACTATAAATGGCAATTTTCAATAGCTATGTGAAATTACCAAAGGGTATATTTTATATCAAGATCTTGTGAGTTTGTCATACGACCCATCTTAGGCACCCTGAAAAGCAAGCAATTTTTTCATGGTGTCAACACACGTTTATTAGTGATATTTGTGGCAAACAACTCAAAACTAAGTCATCCTAGTCATTGGTCGCAAGTGATAAATGATAAGGTGGAAACCAACCCACATCAAAATGATTGGTCGCAAGCCACTTGAAGAATTCGTAGTCATTGGGGATCATCATTCCAAAAATGGTTGAAGCGCAAAGAAATGACACTCTCAGCCAGTGACCTACGTTGACCTACGTAACCAAGGCATACGCTAAGTAGATTATTCAGACCCTGCTGGCTCATAATTGTCCTAACCAACAATGTGGGGCCCCCAAACGTTACGTTTGGTTTTTAACCCCCATTAACTTGCCATTGACTATAGTTATAAGATGTTATTTGCGTATCATAAACCATAGTCCTTCGAGTTATGTGGCCCCCAATTGAGCTATCGTAAACGGAGGCCCTACACCGCACCTCGATGTCAATCAAATCCATGATGTAATGTTTCCTGGGCGCTGGTGACATGTGGAGGGTCTACAATCAATATGATTCATTTACGGACGGTTTAAGTAACTAAAATGACTTACTGTTGCTTAGCAGGGAATGAGGGAATGATCCACCATCACTAGTAATAATCATCCCATTCCCCCATTCCCATCCATTCCCTACTAAGCACCAGTAAGATGAAGATGAAACAACAAACATGAGGTTTCACACTCAAACTATGGGTTTCAGAGTGAAAATGACTGGTCAATCTGTGAGACTCCTATGTTTAGACTTGTTTAATCCGTGCCAACTCCAAAGCGATTGGTGTCCGGTCATTTTGGGTCTTATAGTGGCTCCCTTCAGAGTAGAAAACGAAAATCCGTGGTAAATCACTTTTCTACCTTGCTGGCGGGTACTGTAAGCTGAAATTGAATAATCTACCTGTTGGGTCAATGCTGTCTTCATGGTCTTACCATGTAGAAAATGGCTGGAAAATAAACAATAAATCCTGGCTGCAATCCAACTCTGCGCGTGTGCGCAATTTGTGTTCTCTCTCCAACAACTGATGTGAGCAAACTATAAACACATACACATTCAACACATATGTATGTATATGTGTGCATGCATGATTGTGTCTATGTACAACTTCACAACCTTGCACATATTTTGCAACGAACTCACTTGCTTTCAACCTGGTTCTGAGGTGGACATTCAACGGTAGACACGATTTTCCAAAGGTTGGAACGTTTCAATCTTCATGAAACCAAACTTGGGTTATATGTTGGGTATGGATTCTTGACCCAGACTCACATACTCCAAAAACACCTGGCCAAATCATGAATGAACTTGTTGAGAGGTCGCTACACCTTAGCAGAACTCAAAAGTTATGGTTTTTCAACCAAATTACTGGTTGGTTCACAGTTCGACTATGACAATCCCAATATATGAAACTTGTTGGTGGTGCAATAACCATCTTCAAACATATGAGTTCGTCAATGGGGTTGGGATGACATCCCACATATGAAATGGAAAATAATCCAAATGTTCCAAACCACCAACCAGATTGGGCAGTTCAATCCCTCCGACTGATATTCATGAATCAACAAACAGGGCTTTTGAACACTGCCACAAGTTGCTGGGACCCCCGTTGTCCAACGGGTTCAAAATTAATGCTCCAAGCATCTCAAACTCCATCCAAGCCTCTCGCGGAGGTGCCATCAGAGATGAGGTCATCACTTACATCATCCCGGAGGGGCCCAATTTGTCCCAATTTCAATGACCTCAAAATTGGCGGATGCTTTATCTTACTGGTGCTAACTTAACCATCTTGAAAAATATGAGTTCGTCAATGGGAAGGATTATCCCATGTATTCTGGAAAATTCCTACGGCGTGAGAATTGATCTCCCCTCAAAGGCACGGGTGCGTGATTCCGCAGGAAATAGTCCACCCCGTTGTCACGAACTGCACGCTCAAGCTGAGGCCACCAACTCAGATTACTCGATTTATAAACTGGGATAGTGTAAATATTAGCACGAGATGCTTCGTCACAAACGTCTTGGCGGTCGTCAACGTGGATGTTGGCACCGTGGGATGTTAGAACCGGCGTCTTACCACCAGGGCCTACTGGATCGCCTACCACAGTTACGGATCTAAAAGGAAGACCCTGTGATCTGCAATGCTCCGCAAGGTTATTTGCGTCTTCCTCTGTTTGCCTGCCTCGGGCGGCTCCCGAGAAGGAAACGATATGGAATTCGATTCTTCCTTGTGCGATTTGCACTAGGTTGATAAATTTATCAAGAATCGATTGATCAAATAACCTAAGGACGTTTCTGGCGCAGTCGAGGGTGTCGTGCCAGTCAAAGAACACGACCAGATTACGGCCAATGGCACCTTGCTCTTGGCGAGCTCGATGGTTGGCCGAGAGCGAGTAGGTGTATAGGTACTCAGATGTATTATGTACTTGTATGATTTGCAGACGCTAAAGACTTGCAAGAATATGTTCATGAGAATGTTACTTGAGATCATGTGAATATGTTCATCATGTGTAGATGTCAAGATAAGAAGATGTGAAGATGTCAGGGTTTTAGTTGCAAGATACAGACAAGGTATGCTGTATAGAAGAAAAAAGAAGATGTGAAAAATACAAACATACAGATATGCTGATAGGCCCTCAAACGCAGACACACGCAGAGAAACATGTTATACACACAGACACACACACACAAACCCACACACACACACAGCAGCTTTTACACACAGAAGCTTTTACACACACACACAAGCTTTTACACACAGAAGCTTTGCCACACAGAAACTTGTACACACAGAAGCTTTTACACACAGAAGCTTTTACACACAGAAGCTTTTTAAACACAGACGCTTTTACACACAGACACTTTTACCCACAGAAGACTCTACACACAGAAGCTTTTACACACAGACGCTTTTACACACAGAAACTTTTACACGCAGACGCATTTGCGCACACAAGCTTTACACACAGCAAGCTTTTACACACAGACACTTTTACACACAAAAGCTTTTTACACACAGACGCTTTTACACACAGAAGCTCTTACACAAAGACACTTTTACACACAGAAGCTTTTACACGCAGACTCTTTTACACACAGACGCTTTTACACACAGGCGCTTTTACACACAGATGCTTTTACACACTGACGCTTTTACACACAGAAGCTTTTACACACAGAAGCTTTTTCACTCAGACCCTCTACACACAGACGCTTTTACACACAGAAGCTTTTACACACAGAAGCTTTTACACACAGAAGCTTTTACACACAGGCGCTTTTGCACACAGATGCTTTTCACACAGATGCCTTACACAGAAGCTTTTACACACAGCAAGCTTTTACACACAGAAGCTTTTACACACAGAAGCTTTTACACACAGACGCTTTTACACACAGAAGCTTTTACACACAGCAAGCTTTTACACACAGACGCTTTTACACACAGAAGCTTTTACACACAGACGCCTTACACAGAAGCTTTTTCCACACAGAAGCTTTTACACACAGAAGCTTTTACACACAGAAATTTGTACACACAGAAGCTTTTACACACAGAAGCTTTTACACACAAAAGCTTTTACACACACAGAAGCTTTTTCACTCAGACCCTCTACACACAGACGCTTTTACACACAGACACTTTTACACACAGAAGCTTTTTACACGCAGACGCTTTTGCACACAGACGCTTTTACACACAGGCGCTTTTACACACAGATGCTTTTACAAACAGAAGCTTTTACACACAGACGCCTTACACAGACGCTTTTTACACACAGAAGCTTTTACACACAGAAGCTTTTACACACAGACAGTTTTTCACACAGACACTTTTACCCACAGAAGACTCTACACACAGAAGCTTTTACACACAGACGCTTTTACACACAGACGCTTTTACACACAGATGCCTTACACAGAAGCTTTTACACACAGAAGCTTTTTACACGCAAACGCTTTTGCACACAGACGCTTTTGCACACAGAAGCTTTTACACAGAAGCTTTTACACACAGAAGATTTTATACACAGAGGCTTTCTACACACAAATTACACACAGACACTTTTACCCACAGAAGACTCTACACACAGAAGCTTTTACACACAGAAGCTTTTACACACAGAAGCTTTTTACACACAGACACTTTTACACACAGACACTTTTACCCACAGAAGACTCTACACACAGAAGCTTTTACACACAGACGCTTTTACAGCGCGCTGCATCACAAATGACCACACAAATCACTCCAATCAGGGAGTCTCATGGTCCTTGCCGTGAAACCTCTGAAAAGAGAGTTAGAACTGCTACAAGCATGAGCCTCATCGTGGTTTCATCATGTTTCATCGTGCCAAGACGCTTTTACACACAGAAACTTTTACACGCAGACGCATTTGCGCACACAAGCTTTTACACACAGACGCTTTTACACACAGACGCTTTTACACACAGACTCTTTGCACACAGACACTCTTGACACACAGAAGTACCATTTTATCAAGTTTTGGACGGTCGAGCCTCATTTCGTGCGAAAGGGTTGTGCCGGACCCGTGAAAATCGCAATTTTACCGCAGTTTTTGGCGATCGAAGCTCGTTTCGTGCGAAAGGGTTGCGACCGACACTTCAAAATCGCAATTTTACCGCAGTTTTTGGCGATCGAACCTCATTTCGTGCGAATCTCATTTCGTGCGAACGGGTTGCGACCGACACTTCAAAATTGCAATTTTACCTCAGTTTTTGGCGATCGAAGCTCGTTTCGTGCGAAAAGGTTGCGTTTCGTGCCGTCTCGTTGGCACTGCCCTGTGCCTTAAGAGAGAAATAGAAAAGAAGGAAAAAGAAGAGGGCAAGAGAGCAAGAGGGCAAGAGGGCAAGAGAGCAATAGGGCAAGAGAGCAAGAGGGCAAGAGAGAATGTGAAGATGTGAAGCTGTGAAGATGTGAAGATGTGAGGATGTGAAGATGTGAGGATGTGAAGATGTGAAGATGAGAAGATGTGAAGATGAGAAGATGTGAAGATGTGAGGATGTGAAGATGTGAGGATGTGAGGATGTGAAGATGTAAAGATGAGATGGTGTGAAGATGTGAGGATGCGAAAAGTTTGACAGACCCCCACTATTAGAAGAACCCTTCGCCCAGACGCTCTCGGGAATTATCTTACTGGTGCGTTTTACGCAGGGACTTTTCGGGAATGATCCATTTCATCACTAGTAATCTCATCATCCCAGCAACCCCCAGCAACCCATCCATTCCCTACGTAAAACGCACCAGTAAGTTATTGTTGGGTTTACCACGTTATATATCTGTGAGCTCTCCAAAGTTGGGGGGAATGACCCAGCGAATGGGTTTGCTTTGCTTTCACACGTCTCAAAGGAATGCTTCGCTGGACGAAGTTGGCCTTCAGAGCAGTACCCTCACCCTGGTAGGTTACATATATCACTATGTCCCCATTTAAATCACCTTTCCAAATCCCATTAAAACAACAAATCCCTTGAAAACAAAATTTAAAACATGGCATCCCCCAAATCATTTTGGATCAGAAAAACTCCTTGGAGGATATTCCAACGAATCGTAACTACTAGTAGTTCGCTAGTTCATAATCTTGGTGACCGTAAGTCCCTGATTCGTGGCTTATTCCATATATTAATAGTTACTACCCAGTTTCGATTCGTGGCATGATCCAAGTTGTACCTACTTTTTAATACCCATTTTACCAAGTTTTAAACTAGTATATCCAATAATGGTATTATCAACTAGTGGGTACCAGGTATAATACTTAATATTGATACCTATTAACCTGGTATTCAACTACTATTCGTATATATAACTATACGGATCTATATCTATACCTAGTAGTTTTAACCTGGTATAATACTTATAGTGGTAAAATACCTAATACCCATTTACCATCATTTACCACTAGTTGACAATACCATTTTTGGATACCTTTAATATTGATACTGATACCTAGAGTAAATTGGTACCTAATATTGATACCTAAGACCCACTTACCCTATATCCAACTAGTCTGGTTGTTGGTTGAGCCACCCCTCTGAAAAATGATGGAGTTCGTCAGTTGGGATGATGACATTCCCAATATATGGAAAGTCATAAAATTCCATGGTTCCAAACCACCAACCAGGGATTATTAACCATTATTAACCATGATTAACCATCATTACCCCATACTAAACCAATGTTCCAAACCACCAACCAGACTAGTTATCAACCTAGGCATATAGATCCGTGCCTCATCGAGGTCCTGCAGCAGCTTCCACAAAGCACCCAGCTTCACCTCGCTGCTCTCCTCGAAGATCGGTCACGGTTTTCACACCAGCAAAATCCATGGGGATTTACTGGGTGGAAACAACGAAAATTGTGATATTTACAATGTGAGGCCCCCCAGTTATAAGTTGGTTTATAAGCCCCAGTAACTATAGTTATAAGTACCATAAAGCATAGTTATTGGAGTTATAAACCAACTTAGCTATCTTGGGGGCCTCACATTGTATGAAATTTAATAATGAAGATGTAATTGTGGATAATGGGATTTTAATGGGATGTAGCCTGATTTCAATGGGATTTTGAAGGGGGTTTGATGAGGATGTAATGGCCAGAAGAAACCATATATCTATTTATTTGGTAACTGTTGGATTTGTTTGGGCTAATTAAGTGAACATTAAAACTAAATGTGAATCAGACTTTAGCCATCGCCAAATAGATAGAGCCGATCAAAATTAAGGAAACACCATATAATTTTCTGGAAATATTTTTCGATCTTTTCGGGATCCATATCATGGGATATGACCTAATCTATTTTGTCTATTTACTACTATCTACCCATCTTATCTAATCGTATTTGGTCTTATGTCACCAAGTAAACATTAAAAAGCAAAGGCAATCAAACAATAAACTTGCTGGCAACATGGGATTGTACCAAACAAATGATAAAATTGGACATGCTGGGGTTTGACCCGCAAAACTGTGGAGACACCAGACAAGGGATTAACCTCATTAAATTAAAATCCATGAATACTTTCACTAGCTTCACAAGCTAACTTTGATGGAAAAAACTGCGCCCTGGGGGGTTGAATCTATGGATCTATGATGACAAAACATTCAATGAAACTATATGAATCTATTGTGTTTGAAACAGAACACCGCAAAATTCAAACGTAGGAATGCTGAACTACCAATAAAGTTGTCAAAATTCTAAATTTGCCTCGGTGCACACCTAAAGATAATTGTGGTCAGCTTGCTTCATGCCAATCAAACAAATTTCAAATGCAAGTTCCTTTCACAATAAGCAGAAACCTCCCGGCAAATAAAAATGACTCAAGCAAGGGTGCAAAAATAAAGCATGGTTGAGAACACAAACCGGATGTACACGCAGTCACTTGCAACAGTATTTTTGGTATGCCAATATTGAAACTTGGATACACATTCTGTTTTGAAAGTGCTTCATGCCATTAAGTTAATTCACCGCCAAGTGTATCCAGGATTGGTCAATCGAAAAATGCAATCCTTTTACAAAATGTTCCAAAAATCTTTCTTGGAATTAAATTGAGTTAGTGATACGGAAACTACTCAAATAACAATTTGAAACACAGGTCCCGAACCAATTCTTTAATACCGCAATTCGAGGCTGGCTATACAGCATTATACTTGTAATAAAAAATCCCTAGAAATGCTGGATGCTGTGGGGTCTAAAAAATAATTGTATAAGCTCTTTTGTGCCCGGACCATGTCTTTGTTTTGGCCAGGAAACGAGCAAAGAAAAAAGCTGTGACAGGCGTTGCTGCAACACATGTCCCTGGCGCCCAAACGGTTGTCGAAGCTGGGCCCGATGCTGGTAATAGGACATCTGGCTGCAAAAACTAGGTGGAAAAAATGGTTTGCCAGCTCAATCTGGATGGAAGAAACAAGGGCCCACATGTTTGAGCACGGTGCATGGGAACATATGGGAGCTCGCGACGTACACAAAGAACAATTGTGCCCATCCATGAAGTGCATGTTACACAATCAATCATTGTATGTAAACGTAATATTTATATGTATAAATTCCGCTGTAAGAATGCAGGAGCATCTGATCATGTGTGCAACGGATTTCCTTCATTATGGTGCTTTGCCGGGTTCTCAACATCATGGCAGGGCAGTTGGATTATGAGCATTTCCGGGCGCAAACAAATGCAGCCGAGCCTTTCTCATTGAAAGGCCTGTGATCCAATGCATTCTTCCTGGGCGTGAGAAGTTGCGGGGTTCCCACTTACAAGGGCCAATGGTGCCTTCCACCGCATCCTGCAACAATGGTTGGAAGTCCATGCCGCTTGATAGTTTGTTGGAGATACAACAGGCACCAAGATCTCCGCAGCGCACGCGTAGTTTTGGCACTGCCTTTCGGACGTGAAAATTTAGGTGCTTGCTGCTTCCAGCGCGTGTAGTTCAACCACGTGCAGACCCTGAGCCAATGGGAAGGAGTCAACGTAGCCCGTGAGCCATGAAGGCGTTCAATGATTCAAGGTTGGGGACAGGTTGGGGATGATGCTGCGTGTTTAAATAAAACTCGATGTTGCGGCTGTAATTGTCTCCCGGTTCTCTTCTGGCGGCAAGCTTTGCAACATGTTGTGGCCGAATTGTCCGGGTGGACTTTTCTTCGAAGATCTTCTCCTCAGTGGACCATTTTTCAAACATAATTCATGCAATAAATCGTGCCATCCGGGTATGGGTCAAGTCATTGGGTACCCCAATAGATCGTGAATATCAGCAGTGGAACCCAGGGTCTCGGATGTTGAGACCCATACAGCACAACCTCCTGAAGCTAACACTTTGCTGTGGAAAATGACCCGTTTATAGATGATTTACCTACGTACATTTAATGTACCAATAAATCCACCAAAAATGGTTCAAGGTGGATCAGGTGGTTTAAAAAATGACACCATCTGGTTATTTAACATAGCCATGGAAAATCCCTTATAAATGGAGGTTTCTAGCTGGGAAAATTATGTGTAAATAGGCCATGGCTTCCATAGCTATGTTAAATAACCAGAGGGTAGACTTTGTGGCGCCCCAGTTCTCAGTTGGATTTTGGGCTCCATCGACATTTTCATATGTCTACCCTCTGGTAAACATACAAAAAAAACTATGGAAAATCGCAATTTTTCATGGGAAATTTCACTATGTCTATGGTGATTTTCAATAGTTATGTTAAATTACCAGAGGGCACTAGAAAACATAGTGATTTTCAATAGTTATGTTAAACACTGGTAATTTTACCATAGTGATTTTCTATAGTAATTTAACATAACCACCAACTGGCAATTTTCAACATAGTTCCTGCAGTTCCACCAACTTAGTCAACACCTGGTAGCTGCGGCAATTGGCACAAGCCAGCAGAAGGCCAAGATATCTTTTTCATTCGATGGAAATGCATGGGCAATTAAGAGGGATTTAGCCAAGAACTAGGCTTTAAGCAACCAAAATGGTTGTACAATAGAATATCATCAAATAATTGGAATATCATCAGATACTTTCCCATCTAATGGGAACACATGTTTGAATTTTTTCGTTGATACACCTGGTAATCTTTTTGACGTAGCCTGGCTGGTCCATAGCTTTTTTCGATGGCCCGAGAATGCATTTTCGTACTTCGAGGATCACCCAAGAAATCCAAGCAATACCCTCTGGTAATTTAACATAACTATGGAAAATCACCATAGACATACTGGATTTCCCAATGAAACATGGTGATTTTCCATAGTTATGTTAGTTTACCAGAGGGTACATGTCCACTTGGGGATGATTTTAACAACCACAGATGTGGCTTGGATTTATGATGAGGAATTGGTGGACGTACGTATTGCGCCACGGATTTCTTTCAGGAAATTTTGATTTTTTGGTGAGTCATTGGGGAGGCTTTATGACAATGGGTGGATTCCCACAACAAGCCTGACTAGGGTGAATGAGCCCTTCGCAAATATGACTCAACTGGGATCATTGACTCCTGAATCGCATATGACATATTCAAAACAATATGTGTACCAGGGTAATAGAAAGAAAAAACACCTTGGTATATATATATATACAATGAAAATACAAGATATCATCATCCCACAATAATCAGGCACTCCATGCACTGGGCATGTAAACCCCTATGAAAATGGGGTCATGACCATTCTCTTCGTTGGGATAAAAAAACAACTTTGGTCCAAGAAACAAAAACATGTCCAATCTTAGATACCCAATCATCAGAATTTAGCAGGTTAGAATTTAGAATCCCCAGTCGATAACGTTCAGTTGCCTTATTTCAGTGGCTCAATTCTATGGTTTATGGTAGATATAAGTTGGGGGTATTATAGTACAGAATAGTTATATCTACCATAAGCCATAGAATGGTTATATCTACCATAAACTATAGATATAACTACCAATATCTACGCATTCTATGGTTAATGAGGATTATAATCAATAATGTCCTTTTGGTAAAAATAGAGGGGCCGGGAGCTGGTATACCATCTATCATCAAACAAACCGGTTGTTAAAGGGATAAACAAACCCCTCTATTAACCAACCAACCAACGGGAAAAGGACACCGACAAATCCACTGCCACCATTTTCAATGGGTAAATCCACGAACTGTCTATGGCCATTTTCAATAGCTATGTAACAAATTAATACAAATTACCAGAGGGTAGCTAGTATCATTTCAGGCTGTATAATTATTTATATATATATATATCACATATAGCAAGTATCTTACCATCCTTTTCATTCATATTGGTGGATTATATCCCATGAGATCGATGTATTTTCCAAAAAAGTCTTGCGGATTTTCCACTATCCAAGGCCAAGGCTTCAAAGCGGGAACCAGCCTTCAAAGCTTATCTCACTGAGTCTTGGATACCCTGATACTTTTCAAAAAATGGTGGGTTAGTTTATAGCTATTGTATCCATATATAATCATAAATAATCATATATAATCATTTATAATCATATATAATCATTTATAATCATATATAATCATATATGTTAATCATACAAATATAATAAATAATATATATACTATTATTATGTATATATAATATAAAGCAAGTGTAATGGAAAGGAACTGTAAGTTGTATAAACACCTACCCAACTCACGAGTTGAAATTCTACATCAAGCGTTCCATCAGTTTCCGTAGACTTTTGCGCTATTTTGCCCAATGCACAGGCCAAAAAAATACACAACCAAAGGTGCGTTTCGGTTCAAATCAGAGAATGGGGGTTTCCTAAAATAGGGGTACCCCCAAATCATCCAGGTTAGTAGGATTTTCCCTTATAAACCATCCATTTTTGGGTGCATCATTTATGGAAGCCCCCAAATAGCTGGATAGAAAATATGCCGCGTGAAGGTTTCCCCAACTCACTATGCCTTGAACAAGTTCGCTCATCCCATAGTAATTGTCGGTAAATTAGGTATGCTGCAAGGTGGTGCCCCTCTTTGATAGCTAAGTTGGGGTGAATCTAAACCAATTCATAACTAGGGGGGCACCACCTTGTGTTCATGGCTTACTTCATAATCCCCAACCATCCAGTATGACCCACTATATTGCCCTCTGGTTCTTGAACAGCTTGCTATGGAAGCCATGGCCCATTTGTAGATGATAAAAAGGATGATTCACCTTTTAAAAGTATGGTCCCAGTATGGTAATTTTCCAGTTCGCAAAGCGTGAAGTTGCCAGAGGGTGTATCAAAATAGATCCTATCCCTTCCAATCCCAACATTTTTTGTGTGAATTCAATCCTCATTGTTGTTGGTTAAATCATATGATTGCCATTCTATTACAAGAGTGTACCTGGTTGGTGGTTTCAACCCCTCTGAAAAATATGAGTCAGTCGGGATGATTCTTCCCAATATATGGAAAAATAACATTCGTGTTCCAAACCACCAACCAGGTACATGTAGTCAATCAGGTTCCCATGGGAAATCCATACCTACCCAGGTGCTGTTCACATAGACGGTGGCGTTCAAGTCCAAGACCGATTCCAGGACTTCCACTCTGTAACCATTCGGGTTAGCCTCGCTGAGAGGACATGGACCCATGGACCCAGGCAGGGTGGTTAAGCGTTGCCAACAGCAGCTAGATCCATTAAAAAGCATGGTTGGTGAAGCGGTCAAATAACCGAAATTCCGGAAAATAATCGAAATTGGGATTATCAGTTTTGAAGACTGGAGATTTCTTCAGCCCTTTTGGAGATCAGCAAACATATTATGTGAATTTATGTGATTCATCAGTAAACATGGAGATCTAGCGATATACCCTCCAGTAAATTGGTACTTTGATATGCGAAATCCACCATGAATGTAACTCATTTTCGGGAAACCATGGTGGTTTTCCATATCATTCCATATCTGTAATACTAGCTTACACTCATTTTGGGGGCCCATATGGGGCACTTGATAGTGGGGGAGGGATTACTTGATGGGCTCCAAAGGGGGTGAGCCAAATAATCGATATCTGGCTGGGACCAATTCAGCAACCTGATTAATTAATTAAGGTGAATAACTCACCTAATCCATTCACTTAGAAGTCCAGTTCGAAGCAAGTCGATACATGAATACGTGATGAATACATATAGATAATCATAGCGATAATGGCCTATCCCAACTTATGGAGGCTTACCAGGGACCCACATTCATAACCTCAACCGCGCCAGCACGCCCTGCGTTATCGGAGTTGTACAGTCTCCGCAGTCTCCGACTCTATTCAACAAGGTGGGGCCCCGAATCGCTAAGTTGGTTTAAAACTTGATTATCGGGATGGGGACCCCAAGATAGCGTTCAGTTGCCTTATTTCAGTGGCTGAATTCTATTGCCAATGGAAGATCTAACTATAAGACTATAGTTAATGAAGGTTATAACTGTTTATAAATCAACAAACATCACTCGGTGGCCCCATCCTGTAGTGCTTATGGGGGATAAAACTATTCTGGGAGAACTTGAGATTGGAGTTGAATGGTAAGATCTACCCTCTGGTTATGTCAAAATAGCTACTGAAAATGGCCATAGAAATAGTGAGTTTTCCCATTAAAAATAGTGATTTTTCATAGTTTTTTGTATGTTTACCAGAGGGTAAGCCACTTCCGTTTGTTCTAGTTGACTTTATCACCCGTCTCCATAAACTCCCCTGTCGAATGCTCTAGAAAAAAAACTCTGTTGATGAAGTGTTGATGCTTCGATTCCCAGGTTTTGCTCAAAAAAACCTTGCCCCATTTTCCAATGATCCCAAATGCTTTACCATATGGGTCAAAATTGCATCCCAAAAAATGGCGCTGCACATGACCCAAATCGAGGGCTGCATCCTGGGTTTCCTGGGTTCCATGTTTCAGTCGCCTGGAAAAGTACCTTGTAATTTCTCGAGAAATTCTTCCTGAAGCTCCTCGGAAACGCGCAGGAAGTGGCGCTGTTGGCATATGATGGGTTTCATGGCCAAGCATCTGGATTCGATCATGAACAATAGATTATTTTAACCATGAAATATATATTCCCATCAAGTCTCAGTATATTCCCATTTAGTTTCATGAAATCCATAATAAATCCCTACTAATATATGGCTGGTTGGTGGTTTCAGCCATCTTGAAAAATATGAGTTTGTCAATGGGAAGGATTATCCCATATATTATGGACAATAAAATTCATGTTCCAAACCACCAATCAGAATAGATTATTTTGACAATGAATAATAAAACTTGATAACATGGGGATATCTTGTGGGATATGCCAATGGATCTTATAATCATGGTTATACACATATATATATATATGTTGGTATACCATCTATCATCATTTACCATATTTACCTGTTGTTAAAGGGGTAAACCTTCAAAGCCCTCTATTTTCATCAACCAACCAATGGGAATTTGGGACATCCATGTATATATATATAGATGTGTTGATGTTTGGAACTGCACCCAAAGAATCCATATCACGGCGCTGGTGATTTTTGGAGCACACCCTGGTGGAATCTTCTGCCGAAAAAAACGTGGCTGGGACAGATCCACCATGCTATCAATGGGTAAATCCACGAACTGTCTATGTGCCATTTTCAAGTTCGCAAACTGTAACAATTTACCAGAGGGTAATAGCCTGTTCAAAGTTGTTATTCCTAGTTATTCCTAGTTATTCCATGTTACTCCATCTTTTTCCCATACTGAATCCCTAAATCTTCAGGAATCGACCGTATTGAGAAACTTCAACTGCTTGATTCATCTTAGCATTCACATCATCTGGGTAAATTATACTATTTCACTAACCTGAATCTTGCGGTCATAAAGGGGGATGATTTCTCTAAAATAAATCATGATTCCAGGCTTCGGGAGAACAGTGAGGTGATGAAATTTACCCAGATCGATCATCAGATCACCATAATATTCCCATTGTTGTTGGTTTATAGCCTATTAACCACGAGCCATCACCATTAACCACCATTAAACATCAATGTTTCTGCGGGATAGATTCCATTGAACCATCCGTATTGAGCCGTAGGAATCAACAGGGATCCACTGGGCATTGCTCCGGCGGGGAGGTGAAGAAAATGGCAATGCCGTGACGACAGAAATCACCAAATGGCCATTGAAATAGTTGATTTTCCAATGAAAAATGGTGATTTACCATGGTTATGTTAGTTTACCAGCCACTTAGATTTAAAATGAAGGACAACTAGTAAATAAAGAAAAGAACAAATGAGGGAAAGTACACAAAATGAATGAAAGTTAGCAAGAACAAAAAGCGAAAGAAAAACAACAAAGAAAGCCGAAAGGGAAACAAGAAAGGAAATTGGAAATCAGTCAGCTACAAATGCAAGCAAAACAAGAAGTTTTGGACAATACCTTAACCAGAACGGCAAGCTAGGAAAGAATCTACGGGACAAGAGAGGAGGTGTAACAAATTAAAAGTGAAAGGAAATCTGGTACATCGTTCGGTGGGGGATCAGTTGCTACATCTATCGATGTGAACATCCAATCGCAATCCCCTGCTTGGGGGTGCAGTTGGGGTTATCAATGGGTATAAGCTGTACTGTATGGTCATAAAACACCCTAAGAGTTGGAAAAAATCATCCTTATAACTATAGTAATATAACTATAGTATTATAACCGCTTATGAGTGTAACTGCACCCGCAAGGACGTGCCCAACAACTGCGACCCTCAAGATATCCTGAGATCATGATGTTGATACCCTGGCAGCCCAAGTTTTGCGTCAGACAGATACTTAGATGGAGTTGTTCTGAATATTCATCTAGTTCATCATTTTCCCACTGAAGACATGCGATTATCCTCTGGTTATTTAAGATAGCTATGGACAATGGCCAATTTATCGATCATTCATGATGATTTGCCCGTTAAAAATGGTGATTTTCCATGGCTACGTTAAATCATCAGAGGGTACTTACAATATTCACATGATTATCCCATTATTATTCCATATGGCTCACAATCCCATGATTGTCCCGTTATTCTCCCGTTATTTACCATGATTTTCCAAGCTTGCGAAGCCTGCAACCTATGTTTTTCAGCTGCTGGATATTGAAAAAATCCAGCAAACCCCATCCATCTTTACTCATCACTTTTAATAGGTAAACGTTTACATAGCTATGGAAAGATCCAGCACTTTAAATAGGAACATCAACTCTAAAAGGACCATGTTCAATAGCTATTTTGACATAACCAGAGGGTTTTTTTCCGCAGTTAGATCAATGGAATATCCCCAGTTAGTTTCATCTTTCCAGTTTCCAATGAGGTTTTTTTTCAGAAGACATGACGCAACCCTGAAAAGAAAAAAAAGAGTCAAACCCCACAATGTGAGGCCCCCAAGATAGCTAAGTTGGTTCATAACTCCAATAACTATGGTTTATGATACGCAAAAAACTATGGTATTCATGGGGTTTATAAACCAATTTATAACTGGGGGGCACCACATTGTATCATAAGTGCATAAATGACGCTTCTATCTTCTTGCTGGTTGCTTTATTAGTTTTTAAATCTCTATATTATCTTTTCGGGGATTAAGATTAATGAGTTTGTCTGACAATAGGCTACACTCACTTCCAATTTTTCTTAGCATCAATTTAGACAGTATATGGATTACATCAATCAATTTAGTTCTAAATAAATAGCCATCCTTTAGACAGTACATCATTTTTCCCTTTTTTTTCGATGGCTATAAAAATGGCTATCCCCTATCCAAACAGCTTCGTACGTTTCGAGTCATTTATTGCTGGATTCCCTGCGGTTGATGGTTTGATAATGTTAGATACCTCTAATGCTTAAATCACCATATATGCAGGGTGGTGCCCCATAGATAGCTAAGTTGGTTTATAAATCCCATGAATACCATAGTTAGTTGCGTATCATAAACCATAGTTATGGGAGTTATGTTCACCAACTTAGCTATCTATGGGGCACCATCTTGTATAATATATAGTACCCTTTTGGTAAAGATGTAACAGTTTGATATGGAAGCCATGGCCCATTGAAATAGATAGTTTATCTATTAAAAATTGTAGATCTTTCTATAGCTATATGAAAATTTTCAGAACTATGTATAGATATGTACATTACCTAATGGCCTATAGAAATAGATAGTTTACCTATTTAACGTATTTTTCTATAGCTATGTACATTATGCTACGTTCCATCTCATCAAATCCCACTAGTGATGTCGGTATGTCGAGTCGTCCAAGTCGCCGATCGGCCAAAGGAACTTGTAGCTCCGCCCTAAAGAGCGGGGCGTGCATGTCGTGCATGTCGTATATCAAAGGATGATCTAACTATAGTACTATTGAGGAAAACCCTGTTTTGTGGTGGAAAAACTAGGAACATCATCGAAGTAAATGGTGTTCGTTCCATTGCTATGTTTGATTGCCAAAGGTCAGACTTTGGAAAACTGAAGATTGTGCTGGGGATTCACCTTTGAAACATAAGAAAATGTGATTCTCCATGGACTTCGTCAGTCGTGTTTGTGGGGTTAGTTCACCCATTAGATGGGATTCTCCACAAAAAAAGGGACTTACGATCACCAGGGTTATAAACCAGTTACTAAGTCGGATGATCCTTCAAACGGTACCATCAAGGGGTGCGGGTTACTCCTACACTGCGGTGTCATCAAGCATGGCTGGCTGCGAAATGCCCGAACTAAATGGTTGTTTTGGGAAAATCATGTAATGGAGACTTCGAAGCAAGCCATGTTTGATTACCAGAGAGTTGTTGGTGCATAAACTATAAAGATATATCCACCATAAAATATAAATCTCTGAAAAAAAACTCATAATTCAAGCGCGCCAAGGCAAACACATAAGGACCCATAACTATGGATCAGTTAATGGAAATGAACTAAATCCTGTAATTCTGGGTAAAATATAATATTTCACTAATCTGAATAATTTGGTCATTTGGGGATGATTTCCCTAATAAACCATTCCAGGGTTCCGTTGCAGTGAGATCGTTATATTTACCCAGATAATCTAACGAAATGAACTATAAATTGTATAATGGGTCCGTTTAATAACATGTAATAACTATATATTATCAGTTATATTTATAGTTCATTTCCATAATTATTATATGAACCATAAATCCTATAATTTAACTTTGAGGTTAGATCATCCCAGCACCAACAAATCCTTCAAGGCACTTTTTTTTAGATAGATATATTCCATGTCAATCCATAGATACAGAAATTTCCAATCATAATCCTATTCTAATCCAATAACAAAGGGACCATGGATATGAATAATTTAGATAACGGGTATCAATGGTATATTTATCTATAGCATCCTATCATGTATTGGGATTATCCCATTAACATACCGTTACTAATGTATAAGATAACGGATACGAATGTCCTAATGACACTATAACTGGGATCATGAATAATCAACCATAAACAATAATAAGCCAGACCGTTTTTTGATGGTTGATGCCACCAATAAAAAAATCTATAATCCATGAAATATCCTATTGTTTATGTCCATGAAACAATCACCATGGCTTTTCTAGAAAAAACATGGCATTTTTTACATCCTTTTTTACACTCAAAAAAACATCCAATATCATAATTACTGGCTAATTAATCATTGGATAATCGTCATTAATCATCCAGTAGAATCAGCCACATCCTAAATGTAACGACATGTAGTGGGATCATCCTCCAAGGCACAGTAATAGATACATATATTTCATGTCAACCCATAATAGATACAGTAATTTCCAATCATAATCCTATTATAATCCTAAAATCCGAAAAACTATGGCATAATCCACTCAAAAAAACTCCGGTTGTAAATGGATGTTCATCCCCTGAAAATTTTCATAGGTTTTGATCCAAAGCCATATCAATGATAATATATTCAGTCATCTGGTTGGTGGTTTCAACAATCTTGAAACATATTAGTCAGTTGGGATGATTCTTCCCAATATATGGACAAATAAAAGTCATGTTCCAAACCACCAACCAGTCACGGATATTCTCCCAATCCCAATTTATAATTCCATTGGCATCCTCTAATTAGTTAGATATTCTCCCAATCATGTAATGGGATCGTCCTATAATCCATTAGATCCCATCATATACCATTACTGGTTGGTGGTTTCAACCCCTCTGAAAGATATTAGCCAATGGGAAGGATTATCCCCAATATATCATGGAAAAATAAAATTCATGTTCCAAACCACCAACCAGTCATATATTCATGGATATTCTCCCAATCATGTAATGGGATCGTCCTATAATCCATTAGATCCCATCATATACCCTCTGGTAAACTAACATAACTATGGAAAATCACCACTTTCAATGGGTAAATGCACTATAATCACTATAAATGGCCATTCTCGATAGCTATGTAGCAAATTACCAGAGGGTAACCATGATAACTGATACACTATATGCCATCCTTCATTATATGCCAGCCTCAATTATATCCCATCATATATAATAATCCATTACTGATTGGTGGTTTCAACATATCTGAAAAAATGAGTTCGTCAGTTGGGATGATTTTTTCCAATATAATTATGGAAAGTCATAAAAGTCATGTTCCAAACATTTCCAAACCACCAACCAGTTTAGATCCCACCCTTAAATCGCGGCATCCTCAGTTGTACAGTTATACAATTACCATTAAAAATCAGATACCATTAAATCCTATGGTTTTTTTGATAATCTCCAATAACCCAGGTAGTATAATGCCCTATAACCAATCACCCAAGGCCATGCAATCACGGCAAGGCACATGGCATTCTGCAGCTCTTTGACGAAGCCCTCAGGGCTCTGCTGCCGTTCCTTTGCCGCCACGCGCAGCCGCTCCGCCGCCTGCGCTCGGATCGCCGGGAAGACATGGCGAAGACATGGCAAACAAACGTGGAAACATAGGGACAAATAGTGGTTTTATGAAGAAAAAAGGCAAACATAGTGGTTTTATGAAGAGAAATCATGAAACATGAAGAAACAAATGATGGTTTTAGGCGAAAAATGAAGATTTACAAGGGAATGCATGGTGGTTTTACCAAGAAAATATGTATTTCATGAAGAGAACAAATTGGATTGAAATAGATTTCATCGCCAAAAATGGTGGTTTCACTACAAAAAGCGGGACTTTACGTTACGAATGAAGCATGGCGGCGGTTTGACCGAGAAAAACATTGAATTTCATATGATTGCTTAAATGCAAGTAGGTTTTCATGGATTTTTGTTGAAAATACTGGTAAACTCCTCGTTTTCTGCTGGTTCAAATCATGTTTGCCTCTCAAAGCATCGCATTTTTCTGAGGTCAACCACCATTTTTGCCAAATTCTTTTTGTCTTGTGGCGAAATCCATCTAAATCCTCTTTACCCTCTGGTAAACTTACAAAAAACGAAAGTAAATCACTATTTTTAATAGGTAAACCATCTATTTCAATGGGCCATGGCTTCCATAGCAAACTGTAAACGTTTACCAGGCCGGGTAACCATCTTAAACCCAGATTTTTCGCTAAACTGCCGCATTTGGGCCACCAACAAGCTGGCCATGTTTCGCCGACCCACCGTGGCCTGGGCATGTCGATCCATGGTCTTCCCAAGACACGCTGGCGGTTGGCAGTGGCTTGAATTCAGCTACGGTGGGATCACAGCGGATGAAACGGTGATAACCGGGGATTCCCAAAAGCCGTGGACACACACACACACATATAGATATATATATATATAGATATATACTGTATATAGAAATAGATATATCTACACATATATATATATATACTATATATATGTACATATATATATATTATAATCACATACATATCATATTATCTATGATAAGCTTGGATTATTTACACAAATGTAATTTTTTTTGTCGCTGGTTACCCGGCCTGGTAGTGACTAACGGTTTCCGAATTGGAAAATCACTATTAAATTCATTGGTAAATCGAATTAGATAAGCAATTTTCTATAGCTCAACAAGTCTGATTCTGGGGTAATATTATAATTTTCAATTAGCCAATACTTCGTTTGCACTAGCTGAGATGGCCGAAACCAAAAAATAGATGCTTCATTTTTTCCCACAGGAAACCCTTTCCAAGCAGCCAAGCAGCTGGCTAATATATAATATCTCCCTCATAAATAAAAAACCAAACCTACGGTTGACGGTCCTCCTACTTAGCCAAGTTGGTTGAAACGGTCATAGGTCAACTGTTGCGGTCGATATATCCAGCGGGTAAATAAACAAACTCACTACTGATTATCTTGAGGGGTGGCAACACCTTATAGCAAGCCGACAATAACCAAGCCAACTTAAGAGACTTGAAGCATGTCAACCCTGGATTTTCCTAAACCCTAAACGGCGGTTGAATTGGGGGGGAGACCATTTATGTATCATCTAAAATGACAATTTGGAGGGTACGCCCACAACTAATAAACCATGGTTTATTAATCCGGAGTGGACATTACCCAAAAACATTTGTTCAGTGAGAAATTGCTCAATCGAATGTTGATCTGCGAGCTGATGTCATCATTCTTGATATGAGGATCCTCCAACGTCAATCAACACTCTGGGATGGTAGATGTTTTTAGTTTTTAATCCAAAGCACAGAACCTGTAGGGTTTTGTCTCCAAATTCCCGCGAACTTCCGAACCGCATGATGGATCTATGATCTCCTCTTGAAAAAATGCAGGGGTTGGCTGGGTATACATCCACATACCTATATAATGCTTCTGGAAAACGATTGGTGATGCTCTGTTAGCATTCTAACCAGTTGGAAAGCACGTATACGGGTATGTCTGAAAATAGGGCACCTCAAAAACTCATGGTTAATCATATTTTTCCGCTTAAGCCTTAAGCTTGCCATAAATTGTGGCGTTCCATATTTGTGGACAACCACAATCCATTTATCAACTATTCTTTTCTTAAATCCCAATGTCGAATAATCCATTAATCATCAATTATGTAATCATGTTTTATCATCCATAAATCCATGAATCCACATCATTGATGCTTAAATACCTACTTTCGATGGTTGAGTTGAATTCATTTTTTTTTTCTAAGGTCAACCAGCCGGTTCCAGCAGAGTCCGAGACTTTTTACACCTCTGCAGCTGTGATTTACAGAGGAGCGGCAGCTGCGTCATGGGTTCATGCAGCCACTGCGCGAATGCGCGAAGTATGCACACCTGTCATTGGAGGATCAGAATCTAGAAGGCAAGATATCCATTCTAATCGAACTCATTATATATACATACACATACACATATCAGTGGATCATAGTGGATCACTAGAAGTGATATGATTTAAGGCAAGCTGGATGGCGATGTGGGCGCCATTCTGAACCACCAAAAAACCTCCACTTTGGAGGTGCACCCCAGTGGCCTTTTTGACGCATATGACACAGTATAACCCAACCTGGTTGGTGGCATACCTACCCCTCCGAAAAATATGAAAGTCAGTTGGGAATATTATTCCCAATATATGGGAAAATAAAATTCATGTTCCAAGCCACCAACCAGCAACTATATATGATACTGGCATTATACTGGTATTGGAGATACTGATACCTAGAGTAAATTGTTACCTAATATTGATACCTAAAACCCATTTACTCTTCCAACTAGTCTGGTTGGTGGTTGAGCCTACTCCTCTGAAAAATGATGGAGTTCGTCAGTTGGGATGATGACATTCCCAACTGAATGGACATTCATAAAATTCCATGGTTCCAAACCACCAACCAGAACTATATATGACTTGTCTATATTTACTATATGGGTTATGAGCCTGAATTGGATGCACATCTATTGTTCGCATCTGGGAAGCATCGACCCGTATTTTTGGACCCGGCGGGGGGATCCTCTAAAATCCCATGGAAAGTGATAGTCCAGATCATGCTGATTGAGCCACAGAGCCCCCGTACCGAAAATCTATTGAGGCAACCTGGCACTACCGAAAATCCCCAGGGTTCAGTCCGCTCAAACTTCGTCCGACAGCACGCCAAAATGTCAAGTGTTCTGGTGGATTTCTGCATTTGCGGCAGAGCCCAATTTATTGCGTGGCACATGGTGGTGACAACTTTCCAATCGAGAACCAGCGCACCAGGACAGTGAACGGGCCACATGCCATGCCATGCCATGCGATGGGTTTGCCCAAAAAATACATAGACGGATATTATGGGATATTCCAAAAAACTGATCAGTTAAATCGGGCACATCTGTTTTAAGTGTCATACCATGTTTTAGACCGCGAGATTTTTGGGTACCATACGGTACCGTATTTTTTCGACAAACCTCGATTTGGTTTTCACTTCAGTTCCACAAATTGCCATGTCGATCCATGTCGTCCCTTTCAGGCCTGGCTAGTCAGTCCACATTCGCTACGTGTCGCCGCGCGACAAGATTTCGTAGCTCAGGCAATGATCGTGAACTCATCATGCGGGACACAGCAACAACAACTGGTTGGTGGTATACCTACCCCTCTGAAAAATATGAAAGTCAATGGGAAGGATTATCCCATATATATATATATGTATGTATATATATATATTATGGAAAATAAAAAATGTTCCAAACCACCAACCAGACAAACATGAGCCAAACATGAGCCATGCAATGCGGGGCCGCAGGCGCCCAGCTGCGAGAAGCTAAGGTGAAATAGCTCGGTGAACTGGGTGTATGGTAGTTGGTGGTTTCCTGAAATAGGGGTACCCCCAGTCATCATCCTTTTTATAGATGGATTTTCCATTAAAAAAACAATCCAGCTATTGGGGTACCCCCATTTATGGAAACCCCCAAATAAAACTAACTATAATTAGTAGGATGGGATTCGAAACTGCCTTACAACTCGGGGGCCTGGCATTGTGCCAAGACAATTCGGTGATTAAAAGGCTATAATTAAGGAGCAGCCAAAACAAGTGTGGCTTATAACCACTTGAAACTGTGATGTATCTCAGCTCCAAGGGGCTATAACATGCTATAACCTATCCTATTGCCCTAGTTCTCGGGAATGTACAAAACTTCATTGGCTGATTTGCCATGTAAGTATCGATTGAAACCTGACTTTGTTAAGAATACATCCCGACTTTGATTCAGAATTTCAAAAACCCTAAAAAACATATACAGTATGCACTCTCTTGTGTGTACTCCTTGGGATGATTTGCCATACCTTCAACTGATTTAAAATGTGGGAGTTCAGATAGGTTGATCAACGAACGGGAGACTTCCCTCGAAATAGTGTCACGATTTGGTACTTCAATGGCACCCTCAACAACTCAACAGCCCAGGCGTTTATCAATCTGGTCACATTACCCACTTTATGACGTCGTGAAAAGGGCCTCGGTCTCGAAACTCACGTCATTGTCACACCTGGCCAGCGACTTGTGGCAAGCAGTTGGCGACATTCCGCAGAACAAAAGGGGATTTCATCAACAAAACCTTGGGGTTAAGCATCAAACCTGGGCTTTACCCCAAACCAGATATTGCATTTTGAGAATTCAAGAGTCCACTAAGACACCAATGACAGCAGCTTTCTTTGTCCACCTTTCTCTGATTCAGAAAGGATGCTGTGCACAGGCGGCCAAGCAATCGTGACAATAGGTGACAGAAAACCACAGAATGTCGTCAACGTAGCTCTTCCTTGCAGCTTCATGATCCTGGTCCGCTCCGAACACGAACCACACGAAGCCGTGCGTGTTCCTCACAGCCAAGGACAGCCAGGATTTCGCTGCTCAGGCCCAGAAGTAGGCTCTAAACCCAGGTACACCCTAGTCATAAAAGTTGTAAACCCAGGTGTTTTGGGATACATGTGTGCATAATATATGTGGATTGTCGTATCTCCAATCTGTGCAGGGCAGCAGACATATCCCCTACTATCATCAACCAAAAATCATTTATATTCACTTACTGATCAATCATCTGCTCAATGGTTTAAACCCCTAGTCTTTATTGTTAAAGGCCAATCTACAGATACCCCCAAAATCCAATGGTTTAACTTCCAATTTTTCAGACAACCCCCAGTATCATATTAAGTTGATTATTACATATATGTTTGTGTATATATATATATATACACCCTCCAGTAAATGAACATAGACCCTGCCAGATAGGGGTTGGAAGATCAGTTTCCACTATAAACAGGTAATTTTCAGGGTCTATGTTAATTTAATTTACCACGGGGTATATAAATTTCCTTTATATGCCAACTATATCGCTATCAAATCCCATATGTTGGCTGGTTAATCCATTTAAATAACTAATGAGCAAGCCAAGCATCATTGATATTGATCTAATAAAAACAACAGCAACTATTACCACTATTAACAATTGTCAAACCCACTGAATGATTCATTATCATCGGCAATCCCCCAGTTTTAAACACATACGCAATCATCACATTGAGTTGGCTATATCTCCCAAGTATATCCCAAAAAATCTTCACTACCCACTAATCTTGGCTGGTGAATTCCCATTAAATCTACATCAGACCCACTAAATCCCATGCTATTTTACGTCACTAGGTAAAATCCCACTTTTTCATAGGTCAATCACCGTTCCTCATAGGTAAATTTCCCCAACATCCGTCATTTTGCAAGGTCAACTCCTCCGCACAGAAAGTGCATTCCAACCTCGGCCCCGGCAGCGCACCAGGGGTTTCAGCTGTATTTGACAGCCTCGGTCAGCAAGAAAGTGGCTGGGGATTTTAAGAACACACATGCTGAGGATGGTTGCGAAAATCATGCGCTGCAGAGAATGGGACTCTGGGAAAATTATCATAATTCACTAACCTGAAATAAGACCATATTGGGATAATTCCCCTAACTAACCATTATTCCAGTGAGGTCGCAGTGAGGTCATCATAATTTACCCAGATGGGATTATAATGGGACTTTACCAGTCTACTGACTATGGCCATTATCAGTTGGACCCATTGCTGGTTACAACCCCAACCTACTACCAGTAGTACCGCACAAGGCGGTGGCGGAA